CACTAGGGCGAGTCTGCCCCAGTCCCCCTCCTTCTGCAGTTCCTTCTGAAAACTAGCAAGTCCTCGAAGCTGACAGTCCCCAAAGTGAAGATGGCAGGAGTGGGTTAGGAAGGCGGGAGCGTGGGGGGTGGTGATCTCTCTCCCTGGTGCCCTGGCGCCCTGGCCCAGAGGCCGGGGGTGGAGAAAGGCCGCTCTGAATGGAGTCAGTGTAGAAACAGGAAAAGCAAACACTGCAGCCTGGGCCACGCTGACCGGTTTGTGGGGAGAGGGGGGCAGGATGGGGCAGGGGCCTGGGCTCATCTCAACCTCCCCCATCAACCCTCTCCCGGCCCCTGTGGGCCCATGGCTTCCTGGACCCTTGGCCCACAGTGTCTAGAAGGGGAGTGGGTTTAGGGGCTGAGGACAAGCCCTATAGGGTACACCTTCGCCCTTTCCCAGGAATCTTTCCCTGCCCCACCCCCAGTTTTCTTGCCCAGCAGATGCCAAGAAAACCTGTGCCAGGGAAGGGCTGTCTGGCACCTGAGGGCCTGCCTGACCAGCCCTTCTCAGCAGCAGGAACTGGGTGGGGAAATCACCTTGTGCCAAAGGCGGCCTCAGCAGTGCCATCTGCCTCCAGGGCTGAGGGGGACCTCAAGGTGCTCTGCCCAGGTGAGTGCTACTCTGGCCCCACAACTAGGCAGCAGGGGAAGGTGAGGCTGTCCTTGGGGCTTCCCTGGACCTCTACACGCTCTGCGAGTCCCCAAGAATCTGACATTTTCCGTTAGACTGCCACCCTCTGTCTGGGGTCCGTGTGCCACTGGTAATTTGGTGAGAGAGCCAAAGGGATGGTTTGAGAAACTGTAGGGAAAGTCGGGATGAGGGGAGACAGGAGGGGCTGGAGTCTGGGGAGCAGGACTCCCGGGTGGCAAGCCAACTTTTGGATTAGACTTTTGGAATCCCGGAGAGGCCTGTCATGGTCTCCTTTGAGCACTTTGGATTCTAAAAGACTTTTGGAATGAGCGCAGAGAGGGCTAGCAACTCTTTCTGCGACACAGCAAGTTGGAAGAGCTGGGACTCAAACCCACCAGGCCTTCTTACGACGCCGAGGGCAGCACTGTTTGTGCTATGGATGCCATGTTCGGTCACCACTCTTTCCCTCCCCACGTACAATTTGGTCTCTCTGGATTTAGGGGGGTGGACTCTGGACAGCACCTCCCAGGGCCTCCTTCACTTGCTGTCCTCTCTCCAGGCACCATGTCCAGGGCCGAGCAACCCCTGTCGGGGCATAGGAGAAGCCACAGTCTCCTCGGACTGTCTCTGAGAAGCCATGGCTGGCTTGTGCCTTACGGATCTCAAAGAACAGGGACCCTTTTGCTCTCGGTGCCTAACCTCACGCTGTAATCAAAGCCCAACCACTTCCTGGAAAGCTGACTGTATGCCACAGCATCCCCACGGTGCCCACCTTAAGGAGTCCTGGTCCTGGGATGTGGCTGGGAGGGCCTTGGTGAACAGATACAGGCAGCCCCCACTGAGTCAGGCACTATTCTGAGGCCTTCCATGAATGGTCACCACACTCCTACAAGGTGGGTTCAACTCTACAGATTGGAAAACCGAAGCACAGAATGTTGAAGTAATTTGTCCATGGACACACTCCCGGGGAAAATCACAGCTGGGTTTCGAACCCATAGCCTGGCTCTAGAGCCCTAAGCCCTTAAATGTTCTCCTATCCTGCCTCTAAATCTTAGGAGGTCTCCACTAGAGGTCATTGTGTCCAATCCCCTGCATCTGGGTGTCTGCTCGCAGTCAAGAATCAATCTTGTTTTTAAAGGCACCTGCTCCAAGAGTGGAATTCCCCCTGGGGGTAATCAGACATTTATTTATTCATAGCCTTCTGGCTGGGAGAAGAGGCCCTCCCACCCAGAACTCACCAGGGTCCAGCTGCCTCATTGACTCTCTCTCCTCCCCACCGCAGTATAGTCAGAAGTGAACCAGCCTTGCTCATGTCTCAGCTCCACAACCTTCAAGCTGTGTGGGCCTGGACAACTGACTCAACTTCTCTGAGCCTCAGTTATCAACTGTAAACTGGGATTAACGATACACCTGCTTTTGTGAGGTTGATGAGGTTTGGATGTCATAGGGGGATGAAAAGACTATAGTTTCCGGAATCATTTCTATATAGTTTGTTACTGGAGAAGTTTCTCTGAACATACAGAGCACCGAAAACCTCACGGAGGTGCAGCGTTCCGCGAGTGTGAGGCTGGCTCTTGGTTCTTGGTCTTGTTTCTGTAACTGTCATTTGCCATTGATAATCATTCTTCTCTTCCTTTGGGAGACTAAGAGGGAGAGGATGGCCCCGGAGTGGTCTCAATCATCGTTAAAAAAAGACACACACACACAAGGATGAAGGCCAGAAAAGGGGTAGTGAACACAGTGCCTGGCGCCTGTGAAGTGCTCAGAATGAAGCAGTAAATACTCATCACCATCATCGTCATCATCACCACCATCATCATCATCCTCATCATCGAAACACTTCTGCCGGCAAGATCAGAGCCTCCAGCTTTCGGCCTTGCAGTTTAGCCTCCTTATTACAGATAGGGAAACTGAGGCCCAGAGTGGGGCGCTTGTTAGGGTCACATAGCAAATTGCTGGTGGAGCAGGAAGCAGCTCTCAGCCCTTGGATCGCGGCCTCTTCTCCTTCCCGTCCCCGCCTGGTGTGCCCAGGGTCAGGCCCTGGCACCCAGTCCCGCCCAGGCAGAGCCCAGGAGAGAAGTGAGCAGCGCTTGGAGCAGTAGGCGCAGAGGCCCAGCGCGTTCTCAGCCCTGGTTCTTTGTCTGCTGCTTTGTGATGGTAAGTGCTGCTCCTAAATCAGTTCTGTGACACTTATTGTTGCCCAGGGCGCAAAGAGTCTAAACTTTTCCCCTGAGGTCAAGAATGTGGCCGGTCCCCAAGTCGCCCAGGAGCAGGGGCCTGGGTGGCTGGGGGTGGGGCTGGGGCCTCACCCCGAGCTGGGGCGAGATGTGGGGGGGAGGGGGTCAGCGGGAACAAAACACTTTGAAATGCCTCCTCTCCATCACTGCCAACATTGTCCGCTGCCCGCGGGGGGCCTGGCACCGCCTCGCCGGGGCTCCGGCCCCCAGCCCTGGCCAGGCCAGGCCCAGCATCTGAAAATGGACAGAAGGTTATTGTCCCTCCTTGCAGCCCTTTGTCTGCCCCAGTTCCAGATGTCTAGGCTGGGACCAGGGAGCTGACCCATGGTGGGCAGGGGGGAGGGGACAAAGGGGGAGAGCACGGGTCACTGCATCCTGAGGGGTCGTTCCCAGATCCTGAGATCCCACCCAGCCGCAGCCCAGTCACCTTCTGGGCTGTCTCAGCCCTGGGATTTATCCTATTCCCTTGTCCCTCCTCCTCTTCCACCAGACCAGGGTCCAGCTTCAGGAGGGAAGGCTGCAGGGGTGCAGGAGTTAAGAGCAGGGCGCCTTGGGGCTCCCATAGCTCTACCTGGTAACTGTGACCTTGGGCAAGTTGTGCCCCTCTTGCAGCCTGCTGTCCCCATGTAGGTACCACTGGACCAGGGTTCATTCATTAACAAAGTGAGGACAGAGCCCTCCTAAGTGCCAGCTCTGTGCTGGGCGTGGGGGTGTACAGTGGTGGGTGGGCCACCCTGCTCCTTCCAGATTGTGGTTAATGGTCATAATAACAAGAGGTAACATTGCCACCCACCTTCTGTGTTGGGTACTGAGCTAACCACTCTACCTGCATTATCTCATCCTTTCACAACAAAATTGAGGAGGCAGTAGGTAGCGTTCTTATATCAATTTTCAAGCTCTGGACACTGAAACTCTGAGAGGGAAAGTCTCTTGCCCAAAGCCAGCTGCCAGGAAGCAGCAGAGCCGGGCTCCTAGCCCAGGCCGACCGCCGCCACCAAGAGGAATGATCTGCTAATAAATACTTGGAAGGTGTTGAGTGCAGAGCCTGGCACATCTCCGGACTCAGGCTACTGGGAGCTGGTGGTGGCGTCAGCTCCACCCCTCAGTTTTCCCATTTCACAGATGGTGCTGCTGAGTCCCAGACCAGGGAAAGCAAGCCTGCAGGGAAGAGCTCAGAGAAATGTAAATAGCAACACCAACAGCAACTCTAGAGCCAGGAGGGCCGGCCAGAGAGAGGCAGGCAGCCCCGTGTCAAACCCCAACTCTGTGTGGACTTGGGCAAGTGACTTAGGTTCCCATGCCTTGCTCTCCTCATCTGTAAAACGAAAACTTCACAGAGTTGTTGTAAAAATTAAGTTAGATTATACATTTAAAGCACTTAGCACCATGCTTGGCACACAGCACTCAGTTAATGATAGCTGTTATTATTATTGCTCGAAACGGTAGCATGTATCCCTTTGACCCTTTCTCTCACCTGGGGTCACCTGAGGACAAGGGGAGCGAGTTGGGTTACCAGTTGTTGATGGGGGTGCACAGAGCAAGGCTTGGTCTTCTTGAGGTCTCTAGAAGTCTTGTGACCAGCTACTCCTGCGGGTCAGGGGGAAAGCAGAGGGGATGGGCTGGGAGGGGAAGGGGCTGCCTGGGCCCAGAGGAGTTAACAGCTCCCAGGCTCTGGCCCAGACCGGGCTGCCACGCTGCAGCCGGTTTAGTCAAGGAGCCAGGGCTGCTTCCTGATGGGCAAAACAGCTGGCTGCCTGGAGAAAACAGCTGGCCCGGGCCCCAGCCTCCTAAGGACAGAGGCAGAGCCTCAGAGGACAGCGCCACACTGGGGTCCTGGGAGAGGGAGGCATGGCCAAGAGGGAGAGTCCATTGGAGTGGGTGTGGGTGTTGGGTGGGACTGCAGGAGATGAGGGCGCGTGGGCAGATTTCCTGGAGCAAAGGCCAAGGTAGGCTAGGTCTAAGCAGAGTGCGCAGGGTGACTCCAGCTGGACTGGGAGGTCTCTTCTCCCCTTAAATAGGAAAGATGAAGGGTAGGGGAGCAGATGGGGGGCCAGCCTGCACCCAGCCCTGGAAACTGGGGTTGGAACCTGGGGTGGGAGGGAGCCCAGGCGGGCTTCCTGGGCACCTATCTGCCGAGCTGCACCCAGGACCAGAAGCGGGGCATGGGCTCCTCCTTTGGCTGGGATCCTGGGCTCCCTTGGCCACACAGCAGGACAGGGGCCCAGAGAGCCCCCAACCCAGGCGACGTGAAGCTGGCAGCTGGTAAGAGAGAGCTCCATCCAAGCATCCCCTTGGCTGTGGGCCCCTGTTCTCAGCCTGCTTGACTGCCAGGCTGTGAAGACCCCCCAACCCTGGGGCTCTGTCTGGGCCCTGGGGTACCTCCAAGCTGCCCCCACCTGAGACCTCGCCTGAGGTTGGGCAGGGTAGGCAGAGGGTTAATGGGAGTGTGGCCAGAGTCAATGGGACCAGAGCCACCTTCCTTGGCTCCTGACCCCCAAGTCCCACAGGCCAAACACCCCCAATTTCTCTCTGACCAAGGGGTCTCCTCTAGCCCACCTTCCTAACCTCCAGGAAGAGGGGATTGGCCCCCACCTTGGGTGTGCCAGCCTCCACGATCCTCTCCCTGATGAAGGCCACCCGTAGAGCCTTTGCCAGTGCGCAGGCCTTGGAGCTGAGGCTCCCAGAGGGAAGAAGGCACTGGGGAGGGGGACCATTCTGGGGTCTCTAGTTCCTGATGGCCAGAGTGAAGCCTGAGGCACTAGCGCCACCACCTGGCTTTGGTCAGAACTGCAGTGTGTGTCGGGGGCCGAAACCGAGAGCTCCACTAGATGTTGATCCAGGGTGATCTGGGTCCTGTTCCGATAGATGGGCCCAATTTTTTTTCCAGGCATGTATTCCACATTACCTGGAGAATGAGGACTTTGGCCCCATAGAACAGCAGCTTCAAACGTAAGCCTGTATCAGAATCACCAGGAAGACTCCTCGCTTTAACCTCCACTCGCAGTTTCTGACTCAATAGGTATGGGGAGGGGCCTAGGAGTTGGCATTTCTAACAACTTTCAGGTGAAGTTGATGCTGGTTGGTCTAGGGACCATACTTTGAGAACCTGCTTTAGAATTGCTGTGAATTTGGCCCAATGTTACCTTCATGGAATATGTCTTATTATCATATTTTTTGGGGGGAAAAATGAGTGTAAGTGGGAGTACAGGTGCTTGATCAGCCCACTTCTGCAATGACCTCATCATATTTCTATTGAGAGCCCAACCTATGCCCACCTGGCCTTGCTGTAGGGCTGGGGGTAAAATGGTGAAGGAGGCAGACAGGTCTTTGCCTCAGAGCTCATAGCCAGGCGGGTCAGGTGTGACCTTTCCACATGGAATTCTAAAGGGAAGCTCAAACTAAGGCCCAAAACAGAACCCAATTTACATCCCACCTTCTCCAGCCTTCCGCGTTTAGTAACTAGCCCACCTTCCAGCCTGGTTGCAAACCATGTAAGTCATCCTGATTCCTCGCTTCCTCTCCCACGCCTAATCCCATTACACCCCTCAACCCTGCCCACTGTCATCTCTCCCTGTCCAAGCGTGGCTTCCATCCTTGCCCCCATGGTCCACTCTCTGAGCTGCAACCAGAGCAATCTTTTATTTTTCTTTCTTTAATTTTATTGGGGAACAGTGTGTTTATCCAGGACGCCTCAGCTCCAAGTCAAGTAGTTGATTCAATCTAGTTGTGGAGGGCGCATCTCAGTGGCCCATGTGGGATCCAACTGGCAACCTTGGTGTTATGAGCACTGTGCTCTAACCAACTGAGCTAACCGGCCGCCCCCAGAGCAGTCTTTTAAAGACAAATCACGTCACTTCTCTGGTTATCCCCGCCGATGTCTTCAAAAAAAAATTCAAAATCCTGCCATGGCTTCCAGGCCCTGGGGGTCCTCACATCTCACCGTACTCCCCGCCTCACTTTACTCCAACCACCCAGGCCAACTGGCTTGTTCCCACCACAGAACTTTGGCCCACCTGCTCCCTCCACGTGGAACACTTCCCCCAGAACTGCCCTTGGCTGGGTCCCCTTATGCTCTGTGATGTCTTCTCTGACCCCTCAATTCAATGTTACCTCCCGCCCCCAGCTGTTCTCTGTCCTTTTTTTTTTTTTAAGATTTTATTGGGGAATTGGGGGTGGGGAACAGACAAGTTGCTGTTCTTTTTGTTCTTCAGTCTAGTTGTGGAGGATGTCGCTTCACTGGCCCATGTTGGTATTTTGATCATTGCGCTCTTCCCGGGTGAGGCAGATCGGTCGCAGGCCACTGGACAGCCGCTCATGGTGGCTCTTGGTAGCTCGCCGGCTGCCGGCCACTCATGGTAGCTTACGGGAGCCCACTGCAGCTCCACTGCAGCCTACGCTATATCTGGTGACTCATGGCAGCCCCGCTCCAGGTTGAGCTGTTGTTCACCATCTTAGCTGTAGAGGGCACAGCGTCACTGGCCCTCATGTGGGATCCGAACCGGGGCCTTGCTGCTCAGAGCTTTAAGAGTTGGTTAAGCCAACTCTTAACCAACGCACCACTCGGCCAGCCCTGTTCTCTGTTCTTATTAACTTGTTTTGTTCATAGCACTTACCGTTCTTTGAAACGACCTACTAATTTTTCAGTTTGCTTGTTTCCTGTCTGTCTCCTCTCACCAGAATGTGAGCGCCCGAGAAGCAGAGATGGTCCGTCTTGGTTACCCCTGTACCTAGAATTCTACATGCACCTAGCTTGTACTCCATAAATACTTGCTGAATGAATGGGTTATATAGGATGCCATATAGGGGTATGTCCCCCAGGCATGACATCAGGGAAGGCTTTCCAAAGGAAGGAAGTTTAGGGTGAGATCAGAGGGCCTGTAGGAGTTGGCCAGAAAGACCAGCTCAAGCAGATGAACAGCAACAAAAAAGGATGTGGGAAGGTCCTAAAGCATGGAGTATTCTGGAAACTGTACATAGTCTAGTTTGGCTGGAGCAGGAGATTGGGTGGGAGGGGTGATCAGAGGAGTTGGGAAAGCATCAGACAGCCATGCAGGGCCTCATTGACCCTTGAGGGGTTTGAGCTCTATGCTGACGGGCAATGGGCAGCCCTCGACCCCATCAAGGGTGTTAATGTCAGGTATTTTAGAAAAGGCCGCTGAGTGCAGAATGGTTTCCAGGGAGAAAGTGGGGTGGGGGTGGGGAGGCTGGGAGGTGCAGGGGCCCAGGTGAGTGTTGGGTGCTCATACCCTGAGCCAGGCAAGTGCCACGTACAGGAGATGTTGAGGAGGTGGTCTTGCCAGGATGATGTGATGGCTTGGGCTAAGAAAGAAGGAATTGTCATCAGTGACACCCAGGTCTCCAGCTTGAGGGACTAGATAAGTGGAGGTGCCGTTCCCTAGAGTGAAGGCCTCCAGAAGGGGAGCAGAATTGGGAGAAAGATTGAGGTTTTGTTTTGGACAGATAGAATTTGGGTCCAGGTGGGCAGTTGAGACACATGCCAGTTTTCCAGAAGCAGGGAATGGTCTATGTGGTCAGCTGCTGAGGACAGCCCTCTTGAGTGAGGAGGAAGTGTCCATTGGAGGAGTGGCCAGAAGGACATGGTCTTGGCAGGAGCAGTTTGGCTGGAGCAGCCTTGGCCTGTGTCAAGCGGTGAACAGAGATGAGGAAGCGAGACTGGGAACAAAGCACAGATCCCGCTTTCAAGAGGTTTGAAGGGAGAGCGAGGTAGGGCTGCAGCTGGGGGGCAGCGGGCAGCTTGGTGTTTTTGTATTTTAGATTGGGGGAGATTTAAATCCTTTGGAATGTGGAAGGAAGAATCCAGAAGAGAGGGAGGTTGGCGATTCAGGAAGGGCAAGGGGTTGGCATTTGGAGCTCAGGAGTGGTTCTGTCATGAGGAAGGGGTGCCTCTTCCATTGTACCAGGCAGTGAGAGCAGAGGCCAGCTTGGGGGCAGAGGGTGGAAGGTTCAGAGGCTGGAACTGAGAGTTCCCAGGTGGTGGCTTCTCTTTTCTCCAAAAAGTAGTAGCAGGAAGAGGCCTTAGGTCTTCCATTGCAGGGCCACTGGCCAGGAAGCGGCCCCACTTGGAAGCTTCCATGGGGGCTTAGAGGAGGTTGGAGCCAGGACTCCTGGACTCAAGGGTTGCACGACCCAGGTCCATTCCTTGCTGAGCCCCACCCCTCTCCTCTCAGTGGAGATAGTATGCACAGGCTTAGCCCTCCTCCTTGACTCTGGGAAGAGGCTGAAGGGAGACCCAAAGGTGCCCTAGGAAAGTAGGCCTTTCTGGTGGGTGGGTGGGTGCAGTGAATGAAAGGGGAGCCTGGCTTCCTCTTCAGTTCTGTCTTCCAGCCTCAGGAATTCTTCCTGGGGCCAGGCTCCATGCAGAGAAAAGCTTCAAATGCATTCTTTCTTTCTAGGAATTCTTGCAATACGGCCCCAATGAGGACCCGAGGCTCAGGGAAAAGGAGCTGCCTGAGGTCGGTGGCAAATGTGACGTTAGAACACACCATTGGTGTTTCCAGGCCCCTCACCTTTCCTGCCCTCTCCTGAGAGAGGTTGGAGATCCCTTTTCTTCTTAGCAGGACCTAGGACCCCAACTCGGCCCCAGGGAAGCTTGCTTTGGAGGGGGGCTGCGACACCGTGAGGGGCTGTATGGTGCCCCCTAGGTATGCACTCAGTCTAAGAGTGAACTTTGCTCTCTTAAAGGACCGGAGCGGTGCCGGTGCCGGCGACTGAGGCGAGGGCGATGACGCACGGGGGACGCCAGACTCGGGCCGCAGCAGGATGGCGCCCAGGTGAGGGAGACCCCTTTCCCGCCCTACAAGCCAATATTGCTCCCAGGCCCACGCGTCGCCTCGCGGCTCTGCGAAGTTCCATCTGGGCCCGCCAGAGGGCGCCCGGGGGCGGCGGAGGGGGCGGGGCCGGGGAACCCCGGAAGGGCCGCGCGAAGTCTGTGCTGTCCCGCGGGGTGGGCGGCTGAGGTCCGAGGGTGGGACGAAGGGCCAAGGGGTCCGGATTCAGGGGCGTCGGGCGCTCGGGGAAGCCGGATTTTGGGGGTTGCACGCTCAGGGATTTGGAGTGGAGAGTTCGCAGACGCCGGGGAGGCTCGGATGCCGTCACCCCAGACCCTCCCCTCTTCCCCCCTGTCCCCCTCCGGCATCCAGCCGGGCGGGGGCTGCTCCCGGGTTGTGTCTGGAGCAGGTCTCCGGGTCCTGGCCCTGCGGTGCCCCTGGCCGAGGAAAAGACACTTGAGAACTCCCGTATAGGGGTAGGAAGTGGGAGCCCACTCTTGGGGGGTACGCTCCCCCAACCCCCACTCCTGGCCGCCTCGGCTCCACCCCGGCCCCGGGCCCCGCCCCGGCCCTGCAGCGCCGCCCACTCCCCTCAGTCGGGCCGGGAGCCCCGGGGGCCGCCGCCGCCGCCGCCGCCTGAGTGCCCGCCATGCGCGCTGTCCCCGCCGCCCCGCTGCTCCAGCTGCTGCTCCTGCTGGGGCTGCGGCTCCAGGTTGCAGGCGTCGCGCAGCCGCCGCCGCCCGCGGTGGTCCTTGCCATCCTGGCCCGCAATGCGGAACACTCGCTACCCCACTACCTGGGCGCGCTGGAGCGGCTGGACTACCCCCGGGCCCGGTTGGCCCTCTGGTGAGAGACCCGGGCATTGGCATCCACTGGGTATCTGCCCCCAGCCCCAGGGAGAGCCCCTACCCCAGATGGCCCCATCTGCTCCCTGCCCAGACACAACCCAGACAGGCTCCTCCCCTCCCAGACAGGCCCTCCGCAGCCCCAAGGCCCCCCGGACACGACTCCGTACCCCCTGGTCCTGCAGACTGACCCCTGAGGCCTTACATTGACCTTGGGACACCCACCCTGGCCCCTACTCCTCCTCTTGGGACCTCCTCTGGGTGTAAGTTGGGCCCAGCCCCTCTCGCCCTAGGCCTCAGAGCCCAAACTCAACCCCATGGGACCTGTGGTTGGCTTGACTGGGAGTGGAGAAGACAGGAACAGGCTGGCATCCCCTGGGACCTGAGGTGGCAGGGATCAGCAAGACTGGGAGTTCCTGGGGAGCAGTGGAGATGCTGTCAGCCCTGGAGGGGGCTGCTCTGCAGGGGAGTCAGACCTGCTCCCCCCACTACTGGGCTGGTTCCAGCCTCTCTCTGTAGAGGGGTGGTCCTGCCAGCTGATGGCAGCGCTCCCTTTCTGGTGTTCCTCCCCCAGGCGTCCCCGCAGGACACTGGACTCAGAGGCCACAGTCTGTGGAAGCCAGAACAGGGAGGAGTCCCAAGCTGAGGTTGGGGATAAACTGAGAGAAATGACAAACTACTCAGAACACACCAAACTTCTGCTGGGGGTGGAGCCATGGCCTGGGGAGGCTGCCCACAATTACCACAGTTTGGGAGTTCATTAGTTTCCACCCCTACAGGACTTGACACGTAGTTAGTCTTCACTCCTGGGCAATTGGCTTAAAGGGGCAGTGCCACCTAAAACCTGGGTTCTCAGCTAAGGCTCCCCCACACCCCATCCCCAGTGAGTCATGGGAGCCCCTTCCATGGAAGAGGAAAGGCTATATCTGCGGCAACTGAGCTCGGGCTCATCAGCGCTTCTCAGGGACACTCAGAGTGTGGTTTGGTTCTTAATACAACTTTTGGGCAGAGAGAAGCAGCAGCTCTTCTGTCCAGTCCTAACTCAGAGAGGGGAAGGGGCTGACCTGTAGTCACACAGCAAGGAAGGAAGGTAACCAGTGAATGGGGCAGGTATGTTCTTTTCATCTTTCAAAATGCACTCACGTTCTGTTATCTGCCCTCTTGGCTGGTTCCAGCCGCAGCAGAGCAGCGTCTTATAGTTACAGAGGGAGAAAGTGAAGCCCAGAGAGGGATGGGACTTACCTGAGGTCACACAGTGGGTCACAGACCTGTGGTGGAGGCCTGGCGGTCTGCCTTCAGCCTCTCTGCAGTACACCTACTGCCATTACTCCCATGAGAGGCCAGCCTCGCAGGTGCTGGTGCTCTGGGGGTCAAGCCTGCTTCGGGGTTTTGTCCTGCAGCTGTGCCCCTCACCCTACTTCCTCCTGTGTCCCCAGGTGTGCCACGGACCACAATGTGGACAACACCACGGAGATGCTGCAGGAGTGGCTGGCTGCTGTGGGCGATGACTATGCAGCCGTGGTCTGGAGGCCCGAGGGAGAGCCCAGGTAGTGATCTGAGGGAAAGGTTCCAGGAAGATGGGCAACTGCTGCAACCCAGAGAGGAAAAGGGATAGCCTAAGCCACAACCAACAGGCCAGTGAGAGGCACCTACCCCATGGGAACATCTCATCTCTTTATCCCCTCAGGTACTACCCAGACGAAGAGGGTCCCAAGCACTGGACCAAAGCAAGGCACCAGTTTCTGATGGAGTTGAAGCAGGAAGCCCTGACCTTTGCCAGGGGCTGGGGGGCTGACTATATCCTGGTAAGAAAGCCTGGCCTAGGGCTGGCTTCCCGTAGGTGGTACTATCTGCCCCGACAGAAATTTTGGTGTGATTTAACCTCCTGTAGGCTGAATCCTTCAGCTAGCAACTTGGGTCAGACACCAGACCAGATATTGAGCTTGGATCCCTATGCTTGAACTCAGACTAGGTACTAAGCCTCAATCCCTGAGATAGAGCCCAGGGTATACACTGAGCCTAATTCCCTGGACTAGAGCTCAGAATAGGTCTTTGGAGCTACTCCCTAGGTCAGATCTCAGATAAAGTTCTTAGATCAGCAACTCAGGTCTAAATCTCTGTACCCAATTCCTGAGCCAGTACCCCAGACTAGATCTTTGGTCCAGAAACAGATATACTGGTTTGTAGGTTAGACCTCTCGAAGGGAACCCCATTGGATCCTGAGAGCCACTCGGTCTCTGACAACCTGGAAGGACCCCACTCAGTGAATCCCCAGGGGGCTGCAGCTCAGGCAAAGCTGGGGCCTGTGACATCCCCCTCCCAAAAGTTTGCAGATACAGACAACATTCTGACCAACAACCAGACGCTGCGGCTTCTGATAGAGCAGGGGCTACCCGTGGTGGCCCCAATGCTGGACTCCCAGACCTACTACTCCAATTTCTGGTGTGGGATCACTCCTCAGGTGAGGCTCGGGATGAGGTCCTGGGAGAGAAGGGACATGGAGAGCAGAGAGCCTGAAGGCCTCGGGGTCTGTGGGCCGTGGCAGGAAGCAGTGTTCTGGAGATTGAGGGGGCCCTCTCACAGCCCAGAGCACCCCCTTCCCCAGGGCTACTACCGCCGCACAGCCGAGTACTTCCCCACCAAGAACCGTCAGCGCCGGGGCTGCTTCCGGGTCCCCATGGTCCATTCTACTTTCCTGGTATCCCTACGGGCAGAGGGGGCAGCCCAGCTCGCCTTCTACCCCCCTCACCCCAACTACACCTGGCCCTTCGACGACATCATTGTCTTCGCCTACGCCTGTCAGGCTGCTGGTGAGGACAGCTCTTTTTGCTTGTTCCTTGGAAGCCTCTAGGCTTTTGCATATGCTCTTCCCTCTGCTTTGCATGCCCTTCCCCACTCTACAAGTCATCTTGTTAACTCCTCTGTGTCCTTTGGGTCATAGCTTTTCTTGAGCCCACTGCTCTAGTAGGTTAGTTATTCTAGATCCTTCTTCTGGCTGTCCCCATCATGGCACTTTCATGGATTCCTTCATTAGGCAAATATTTATGGAGCACCTCCCATGTACCAGGTACTGGGGAGATGGCGATGAGTCAAATCAGGCAGTCCCTGCCCTCCTGGAACCTCCCTTCCCATCAATCAAAGGAGCACACAAATTAATGTCCAATCACAACTGTGACGGGAAGGAGCGTTCCTTGATTGTAGATGCTCTGGGAGCTTAGAATAGAGTTGACCTGGTCAGGGAAGGCTTCCTGGAGGATGTGGACTTTGGGGCTGAGATCAAAAGTATGGGCAGGATTAACAAGGCGAACAGAGCAGGAAAGATCATGGGCAAACGGGACCAGGAGATGCAGAGGCTCATGGTGCAGGGGACACGAGAAGACGGGTGGTTACACACAGTAGGGGTGAGGGTGGGGGGGCTTGGTGTAGGCTGAGGCAGGAAAGGCAGGCAGGCTCAGCCGATGTGGACCTGGCCAGTCAGCGTCTGAGCTATTTAGCCTGAGAGCACTGGGCAGCCGTCAGAGGATGACATGATGGGATTTGAACACTTAGAAGATCACTCTGGTGCTGGCAGCTATTTTAAGATGGAAGCTACTAGAAAGCATTTGGGTTTGAATGGGATGAGCCCAGTTCTGAGGACTAATCAAAGGTGAGAGCAAGACAGAGACAAGAATATTGGAGTAAGGTTCTTGAGAAGGCTCCAGAGAATATAATTCAGGGTGTAGATTGAGGGGTGGCGGGGACATGGAGACTGTCTGGTGGGTGGAGGAGAACTCTGCTGGTGATGGTCAGGGTGAATGAGAAGTGACGATTTAATCCAGCAGTGCTGTACCTGACTAAGCAAACAGTATGTGAGGGGTGGTAGCCAGAGGGGAGCATTGTCATCGGATTTTTAGTGCACTAGGTGTTGGCGACATCTGCAGTGCAGGCACGCAAGAAAAATCCAATATAAAAAGTGAGTGAAGGTGAAACAAATACAGAAGAAGCAAGTCTATTTTTATTGCTACCACTACTTCAAGTATCGGCCACTGTTAAATTGGTCAGTGGTTTGAAGGAATTTAGTGAGTGGTGATTTTGTCTCCATCATTCATGCATCTAACACCCAGCTATTGAGTGTCTCCTCTGGGCCAGGCTTTGTGTTCCATGCTGGGTGTGGGGTTAACTTAAATAGATACCGTGCACCTGCCCCTGAGGAGTTTACGGTCTATAGAAGATAACGAGTAAATAAAGAATTCTAATAAACATGACAAATCTTGAAGAAATAAAAGCAACAGCATGGAGGGGGCAGGAGAGGGTGTGGGGTTAAATGTAGGGATCTGGGCAAAAGGTGATGGTGTTAGATCCAGGTTACGTCTGGGCAGAGGTGGGAGAGGTTTAGCGGGTGGAGTGATGACCTGGTCTGCAGTCACTTGCGAGTTGGCCTGCTCCTGTCTCCTCCTGATCTCCAAGGACAGGGACTCTGTCTTGCTCACTACCATTGCCCCAGCACCCAGCAGGGTGCTGTTAAATGAATAAATCTCAGCAGAAAGCTCCCTTAGATACTGTTTGAGCCAAGCCCTTTCTCGCTCCAATCCCACAGGTGGGGACACCGAGTCCCAGCGAGGACTCACGCACTGGGCCACTGGGAGGACTGGGCCCAGGACCTCAGCTGCGTTCTGAGAGCCCTACCCCCTACTTCAGCACTCACCTGGCCTCTCCTTGCAGGGGTCTCGGTTCACGTGTGCAATGAGCACCGTTATGGGTACATGAACGTGCCGGTGAAGTCCCACCACGAGCTGGAGGACGAGAGGATCAACTTCATCCACCTGATCTTGGAAGCGTTAGGTGAGGGCTGGGAGCCAGGCACCCACCTGCTGCCCCCTGCCTCCCCATGTGCCCCTTCTCCTAGGCCTCAGACCTGATGGGCCATCGGGCTCGGGGTCCCAGTCTCACCCCTAACTCGCTCCCTGACTCTAGGCAAGCCCCTTTCTCCACTGGGCCTCAGTCTCCCCATCTCTACGATGGAGGCAGGTGGATTGTGTGATCTAAGGGCCCTTCCTGCTGGGCGTTCCGCTGAGGGGGTAGGAATGGGGGGAGCTAGGACTCTAGGGTCACCACTGACAAGACTGTAGGGACTCATGATTGGGGGTGCTTTCCTCTGCAGTGGACGGGCCTCCCATGTGGGCCTCGGCTCATGTGTCCCAGCCCCCAAAGAGTCCCACCAAGATGGGGTTTGATGAGGTAAGTCCCCTGAGCCTGCAGGACTGGGGTCGGAGGTGGGTGCGCCCTCCCCCCTCCTCTCTTGCACCCACTCCCTGCACTCACCTCCCCTGCCTCTTCCAGGTCTTTGTCATCAGCCTGGCCCGCCGGCCAGACCGCCGTGAGCGCATGCTGAGCTCGCTCTGGGAAATGGAGATCTCTGGGCGGGTAGTGGATGCTGTGGATGGCCGGTGAGACTCCCTGGGGATGGGGCCCCGAGCAGCTGAGGGGCAGTATGGTCTATCAATGATCCTTCGAGGTGGGAAAAGCAGATATGAGTGAGTTAAATGAGTTTCCTATTCCAGGAAGTATTCAAACAGAGCCTGAGTAATTCTGTGTCAGCGAGTCCCAGGGTAGACAGAACTAGGACAGGAGGCTCTCGCTCAGCCCATAGGAGGAAGGAGAGTACGGTGGTGAAGGCCCAAATCTGGGGCTCCTGGGCTCGGGTTCCAGCTCTGCCCCTTAGCAGCTGTGTGACCTCAACAAGTCACCCCAACCTCTTCAGCTTTACGTGTAAATGGTCAATCAGGGTGCCTTCCTCTTAGAGGTTTGTAAGGGCTCAGGGAAGATGTAGCCAGGACCTGACACAGTATGTATTCCACAGGATAGGTGTCTTCATGATCATCATCAGGGTTATTCTTCTTTCTCCCAAACTTAGGTCCCTAATGGGTGGGGTGGGAGCAGACCAGTCACGTTCTCCAGGGGAACCCGGGGTTCCGGGGCTCCCCATGCCCACTGCTGTTTGCTGCTTATGCCCCCAGCCCTTCTAACCATAGGTTGTCCTTCCTTTGCTTGGGCCTCTGCCAGTTCCCTGCATTCATCCTGGAGTGAGCCCCCTCAGGCCACCTCCCGCCTTCCCATGCTGCCACCCCCTCCCCTGAGGGTCACCCCTGCCTCAAGTGGCTATGGTTTCCCTGATCCAGTCACTGATGACGTCAGGCCATCAAACCTCCTTCAAACCAGATTCCACTGTGACTGTCCCCAACATGCACTGGCCAGGCGCCCCAGACAGGTCCCTGGTGGGCACCCCTCCACCCATTACACTCGTCTTTCTCAGGACACTCAACAGCAGTATCATGAGGAGCCTCGGTGTGGACCTGCTCCCTGGCTACCAGGACCCCTATTCGGGCCGCACGCTGACCAAGGGTGAGGTGGGCTGCTTCCTGAGCCACTACTCCATCTGGGAGGAGGTGAGGACCCCGCCCCCTCGGCCCATTCCCTCAGGGAAAGCAGGGCCCCCCATTCCCTGCTCTAGGCCCAGCCCTCGGCGATTAACAAAGACCCAGTCAGCAGCTTTAAACCTCCTATGTGCTCAACCCTACACCTTATTCATTCTCCAGTCTCTCTTGTGCACCTGCTGTGTGCTAGGAGATATTCTGCTCTGAGAATACCGAGGTGAACAAGAAAATTCAGCCCTGGCCCTCCTGGGGCTCAGGGACCAGAGGGGGCACAGAAATCAGGAAAGAAGCAAGCTTGCAATGGAGTGGAGGTGTACAGGCTGTCCTAGAATGTGGACTGGCCTGGTATGGGGTCAGGGTAGGTCTTGCCATTGACTGGCAGAGAGAAGAGCCTCCTTAGCAAAAGAAAACAGTGTGGGCAAAGGCCCTGAGGCAGGAAGGACTTGGGCGAGCTCAGGGGTGGGAAGAAGACAGGCATCCTCAGCACTCAGCCACAAAGCCTCAGCCCAGAGCTGGGTGTCAGGGCCGCTGAGAGGCCACTGCTCAGACGCTGCGGGAAGGACCAGGGTCACTGAGAGGTCACTGCTCAGACGCTGCGGGAAGGATCAGGGCCACTGAGAGGTCACTGCCTGGACAGTGGCCCCCAAGGGGTGCCTGCTCCAGGAGGTGGCACACAGACTCACCCCTTGTTTCTATTTTCTGCTGTAGCCCAAATACCTGCATGTGAGCTTATATTTCTGTTTGTTTTCTCCTGTCGGAACAGATTGAAGGATGACATATATTTCACTGTTTACTGAGCTGATGTCATGTTCTTTTCACATTTCCAAAAGTTGCAGAGAGTGCTTTTTGTTAGGGATGTTGGGGGCTAGGGTCTCCCCCACCCTGCCCAGCCCAGTTTCCTTTAGGAAAGCTCAGGAGGCCGAGGGAGGACCTGGGCCCTGGAGTCCTGCGGTGCAGGTTCAGACCCCGGTTCTGCCACTGCCTGGCTGTGTGTCCTTGGATAAATGAATTTGCTTCTCTGTTTCTTTGTCTCCTTACTGCTGTACAGGGCCTTCATGTGCACTGCCTCCTGAGGGCAGGCAGGCTGGGTCTGTGGCCCCTGGGATGTAGCAGCGCTCAGTGAATGCAGCATGGGTTCCAACTGCCATCATGAGTCAACTCAGAGAGCTGGATGGGGGGCTGAAGGGCCTTAAGTGCCAGAGCAAGGCATTGGGATTTCAATCCCCAGGCAGTGGGAGCCCTGGCAGGCTCTGGAGCAGCTGAGGGATGTGGCCAGGACTGAGCATCTGGCATATAAGTGAGGCCAGGGAGAGTGTCAGTGTTAGCCAGGTGGAAGGGGACAGCCCGAATCTAAAGAGCCACCCTGCACCCCACCACATACCACAGGTGGTTGCCAGGGGCCTGGCCCGAGTCGTGGTGTTTGAGGACGACGTGCGTTTTAAGAGCAACTTCCGGGGGAGGCTGGAGCGGCTGATGGACGAGGTGGAGGCAGAGAGACTTCCGTGGGACCTGATGTAGGCAGCCTGTGCCCCAGGGGCAGGGAGAGGGGCGGGCCTCGGGGAGTCTGCCTCCTGCTTGGAGCCTTCCTCCCCACAGCCTGGCCCTGGAGGACGGGGTTGGGGGAGAGGTCCTGCGACACCCCAATAGTGTGACTCCTGGGAACCTCGATGTCACCTGCAGCTACCTCGGCCGGAAGCAGGTGAACCCTGAGGAGGAGGTTGCCGTGGAGGGGGTGCCACACCTGGTGGTGGCTGGGTACTCCTACTGGACACTGGCATATGTCCTGAGTCTGGCGGGCGCCCACAAGCTGCTGGCCTCCCAGCCCCTGCGCCGGATGCTGCCTGTGGATGAGTTCCTGCCCATCATGTTTGACCAGCACCCCAAGTGAGTCTCAGCTGGGGGCAGGGCAGGCTCATCCCCTCCCCACCTCAGCAAGCAGTCAGTCCCCGGGCTGGGCAGGTGGGGAGACTGAGGCTGGCAAGGCTGAGTCACTTCTTCCAGGTCACCAAAGAGTAACTGAGGAACCCAGCCTCATCCTGGAGTCAGACCAACAACCTAGGTGTCAATTGTCTGCTGCCTGTGTGGTTTTTAGTCAAGCAACTTCCCTGTTCTGAGCCTCAGTTTTGCCATCTGGAAAATGGGGATAAGAGGAACCCTGCCTCTCATGTTTGTTGTGAGGTCTAGCTGGGGAGGACAGTGAGGTGCTGTGGGCAGGTGAGGTGCCAGGCTCCAGACCAGCATGAGGTCTGGGTGGAGGGGCTCACCTCAGCCCCCCTGAGCTGTCCTCCTGCCTCCCAGCGAGCAGTACAAGGCACACTTCTGGCCCCGGGACCTGCGGGCCTTCTCTGCGCAGCCGCTGCTTGCTGCCCCTACTCACTACGCGGGGGATGCGGAATGGCTCAGCGACACGGAGACATCCTCACCCTGGGACGACGACAGCGGCCGCCTCATCAGCTGGAGAGGCTCTCACAAGACCCTGCGCGGCCCCCACCCGAACCTGGCTGGCAGCAGTGGGCACAGCCTCCATCCCCACCACAGGGATGAGCTCTAGGTGAGGGCAGGGCTGGGAAGAGGACCGCAGCCCTGTGGGCCTTGGGTTTCTCTCCTCTTCTATGCCCGACTCTGCGTCTGGGTCTTTTTTCCCCTTCTTACTCTGTTTTCTTTCTCTCCCTCCTACTGGCTCTCTCTGTCTCTGCATTTCTCTTTCCACCTCTAGCTCTCTCTTTCTCTGTCTCTGGCTTTGTTTCTTTGTATCTGTTGGTGTCTCTCTGTCTCTGATTCTGTCTGTCTGTCTGTCTTTGCCTGCCTTTGTCTCTCTGTGTCTGTTTCTGTGTCTGCTTCTCACAGCCTCACTCCTCCAGTTCTTCCCATTTTTCTCCTCTTGCCTGTCCTGTCCCACCAGGTCCAGGTGGTGATTCCAGAAGAGTTCCCAGGAGCAGGCCACAGCTGTCCAGGGAGCGGAGTTGGAGATTGCTGGCAGGAGCTGCCACTAGGAACCACAGACCCAGTAGAGACCTGGCCGCCACCTTAGGCATGGTCACTCTGCCCTCTGGCCCCATCTTACATCAGGAGAAACCACTCAGAGATGGGTCCCCTTCCCCAAGGTCATGTAGCGAAAGGGCAGGGCTGGCAGCTCTTACCCTGCTGGGCCGACTCAGCCTGGGGTGGAGGGAAGGAAGGAGGCGCCACAGTCTTCTGTTTCAAGCTGGGCAGACACAGGAGCCCTGCCCTCCCTGAGGACCCAGCTGCTGGGACCCCTCCCCCCCTTCTACCTCCACCTTAGTCCCCCTGCCCCAAACTGGATACCTGGGTTTCACCTGCCAGGGTTCACCGTCTTCCCTGGCCAATGGGAAGTGCAGGGAGGTGGGAGGTGGACCCAGCATACAGTAGGTCCTCAATAAAAGCCGTTTGCACTTTATATTTTTTAACTCATGGCTGAGCCTCTTTGCTTGTCACTAGGTCTGGGAACTATGGATGAGATGAGCAGTTAGACCGAGAGGAGGGCAGCCTGGAGGAGGAGTCAGGCCCACCTGGCATCATCTCCTTAGTCTCCTGGTTGGTAAAGGTGATGGTGGGAAAAGGAGCCCAGCCCACAGTGAATACTCAGTCATCGGGACAGACATGGCCATCACCGGCCTCACCTTGCTGTTAAGGCCACGTGGGCCCAAGCCAGACCCAGGGCTGCTGATCCTGCCGCCTTTGGATCTTCACCTGTGCATCTGGAACCCCTGCGCGGGAAGTGGGTGGGGAAAATCCGGGGCTCCCTCTGACCTGAATCAGTGTGGCCGCCAGAGGGCGCTAGGTGGCAGAGCCTGGACCTCGTGAGCCAGGGCGCCCTCTGCTGGTTTGGGGCCGATAATGGGGAAGAGAGCCTGGGGCATTTGGAATCTGCTCCCGTGCTCAGGGTCACCAGCAGCACCTCCACGGTCTTCTGCTCTTCTGCTTGTGAACTGCTTGCTAGCTTTCCTCCACCCGCCTGCCCCCCTCTCCCGTCAGGCTTCTGGGCCTAGCAACTGTCTCCAGCGTCTGCACTCAAGCAGCTGGAGGGGTGGGGAGGTGGCCCCTTGCCTTGACTGTGGCTGCCTTGGACTCCACCAGGGCAGGACTGTGACACCGACACCTCCAGGTTTTCTTTTTCAGAGGAGCCCCTCTCCCATGGCAGCCCCTTGACTTGGTTGTGTAAGCACCTGGGTCCTGGCAGAATCCGCCAGGCATCCCCTGAGGCTGGGCTATCCTTCATTCTGGGCATGAGGTCCAGCTGGCCTGGCCTTGGTTCCCGAACCTGGCATGGCTATGAGAAGAACTTTAGGCCAGAGCTATGGGATTGGTGCTTTGTCCCTTCCAAAACCATTGATTCTGGATGGCTATGACCTTGAGCAAGTCATTTCTCTTCAGGCTTCAGGTGTCCCCTTCATCCTTTAAAATGAACATTTATTGAGCACCTCCTATGGGCCAGGTTTAGGCACCAGGCCTACAGCAGTAAATAAAACTGACACCAAACAAACAAACATCCTGACTTCATGGAGTGACGTTCTAGTGAAGGAGGAAGACAAAAACAAGTAAATATCAGAGGATAAGTGCTATAGAGGAAAATGAGGGAGGAAATATCAAGTATGATCTGAGACATAAACATCTGCGCAAAGACTCGAAGGAGGTAAGGGAGCAAGCTATGGGGAATCTGAAGGAAGACCGTTCCAGGCTGAGGGAGCAGCATGTGCAAAGGTCCTGAGGCAGGAGCAGGGCTGGCAGGTTCAGAAGACAGCAAGGAGGCCAGTGTGGCTGGAGCAGAGTGAGTAAGGAGGAGCCAGGTTCTGGAGATGATGGGTCCAGGGTCAGGGCCAGAGCAGAGAGGACCTTGGAGGCCATTTTAGCTTTTACTCTGAGATAAGGAGCCCTCGGAGGGTTTAAGGCAGAGAAATGACTTATATTTTAACATGATCACTCTGGCTACTGTACTAAGAATGAACTGGGGCGGGGGCGGGGATCCAGGGTAGAAATAGGGAGACCAGTTAGGAACCCATTGTAATAATCCAGGAGAGACACAATGTTGTTGACAGTGGTGGGGGAGTGGGGGTGGGGTGCGGTGAGAACGTAGAGCTGACAGAATTTCAATAGAAGAGGCAGCTTTGCAGACACTGAAGCCACTGGCCCTGGAGCCATCCTGCTTAGCCTAGCCAGTGTCAACCCCACCACGTTCTTCGTTCTTCTTCGACATTGCTGGCGAGCCCTTGGGCCTCATCTCCTTCAAGCTGTTTGCAGACAAAGTTCCAAAGACAGCAGAAAACTATCATGTTCTGAGCACAGGGGAGAAAGAATTTGGTTATGAAGTTTCCTGCTTTCTCAGAATTAATCCAGGATTTATGTGCCAGGGTGGTGACCTCACACACCATAATGGCACTGGTGGCAAGTCCATCTACAGAGAGAAATGTGATGATGAGAATTTCATCAAGAAGCTTAAGGTCCTGGCATCTTGTCCCTGGCAAACCCTGGACCAACACAAATGGTTCCCAGTTTTTCATCAGCACTGCCAAGACTGAGAGGTTGGGTGGCAAGCATGTGGTCTTTGGCAAGGTGAAAAAGGCCACGGATACTGTGGATGCCATGGAGAGCTTTGGGTCCAGAATGACAATGCCAACCAGGTCACCACTGCTGTCTGGACAACACTAATAATGATTTGTGCTTTGTCTTCACCACCAGACCATCCCTTCCATAGCTCAGAACAGCACCCTTTACCCACAATTCTTTGGGTTCCTTGTTTTCCTTATCTCCCTCCAAGTCTAGTTGAACCAAACAGTTAAGTTTATAATTCTGAAATAAAAACTAAACAACAACAACAACAAAAAGAGAAGTTGAGGGTGATGCCAAAGTTTTTGGCTCGAGTTACTGGAAGAATGGAACTGTCATGAACTAAAATGGAGAAGACTGGATGGGGGCAGGGCAGAAGGCCAGTTTTAGACGTGTTAATTTGAGATCCAGGTGTGCATGTCAGGTAGGGGTTGGATGTATGAGCCTGGGAATCAGGGAATCAGAGACGGAAGCTTGGAATCCCATCCTGACCCAGAAGTCCTGGCCCACACTCCACCACTGGCTACCTGGGGAGCTTGTTGAAATGCAGATTCCTGCCCCCCTCCTGTCTCCACACTACAAGGTTCTGGCTCAGAAGATTGTGGGGAAGTCTGACTGTTTTTGAACCAAACCACCCCAGGTCATTCTGAGGAATTGACAGGTTTGGGAACTACTGCTAAACCTATGTACACTAAAATTTACTTTGATGATTTTTGGCAATGTAAACAGTTGTGTCACCACCACTACAATGCAGGTATAGAATATACATAATAATATATCACCCCCCTCCCCAATTCCCCTGTGCCACTCTACAGTCAACTCCCTCCTCCCACCCCTGCCCCTGGAAACCACTGATCTGTTTTCTGTCCCTGTGGTTTTGCCAAACTGTCCTGTGGATGGAACCACACAGTATGTGGCCTTTTGTGTCAATAGCATCATGTTTTATTTGGAAGTTTCATACAAAACTGAGCTTTAATATCTTCCCTAGTACTTTATACTATAGTTTCTAATCCTAATATGTATTATGAAGAATGTGTTATGAAATTTTCATCTAGACCAGGGGTCGGCAAACTTTTGAGACGGAAGAGCCGCCAGGGGTCAGCAAACTGCGGCTTTCGAACTGTGGCTCTGAAGTAAAATTGAAAATGAAAATAAAACTATCATAGTTTCATTTATAAAAATTTTAAAGGCTATTATTCGCATAATGGTGATTATGTAAAAATATATTTATGGCTCTCGAATAATTTTTAAATTGTTGTGAGGGACAGGATTGGCTCTTTCAGGGGTCGGCAAACTTTTGAGACGGAACAAACCCAAAGAGCTGCAGTTTGCTGACCCCTGATCTAGACTACCAAGTACCACCCTACCCCCATGCGCTCCAGACTACTCGGGGTAGTAGTGTGCAAATATTTTGGTTTTCTATGTGTGTTCTGCTGTGAAGAAGGTTGGGAAGCCTTGCCCTGAGGCACACTGGCTGCTTGGGGGAGGCATGGATGACCGAGAAAATGAGAAAGTGGGGATCAGTGGGCAAGAGCTGTTGTCTAGTAACCTCTCTCCTGGAGAACTGCTTCTCACCTTCTCTGCCCCCAACCCCCTGGTTGGTATAACTGTGTGGAAACCAAGAGACAAGGGGCTTTCCTATCACTTAGTGGCAGTAGCTTTGGGGCATTGGCTGTTTGCCAAGGGTTTTGCCTGCTCAGAGAGATTTTTGTCTCCTTTTAGTTTCTCAGCTGAATTATAGATGCTGAAGAGCCCTTCCTGGATGGTGGAGGTCTCTGCAAATGTTGGTGTGGATGGTGGCGGTCCCTGTAAACCTTGGTGTGGATGGTGGCGGTCCCTGTAAACCTAGGTGTGGATGGTGGAGGTCTCTGCAAACCTTGGTGTGGTTGATGGAGGTCTCTACAAACCTTGGTGTGGATGGTGGCGGTCCCTGCAAACCTTGGTGTGGTCTTGCTAGCCACAACATGGGTCCTGGGGTCAGAAAAAGCTGGTTTGAGTTCTGTCTTGGCCCTTTCCAGCTCTGTGACCTTGGGCAAGTGTCCTGACCTTTCTCTAGCCTCAGTTTTCTTCTCTGTAAAATGGGGTTGGCACTTGTGCCAATATCACTGGATGTTGTGAGGATTCATGAGCTAATGAGGGTGGCACAGTGCCTGGCACAGAGAGTCCGGCATTGATGGTCACTGGCATCATGGTGACCTTCCAGACAGTGACAGAGTGAATCAGGGTGGACTTAGGAGGTGTGCCTGAATCAGAACAAGGAATGGGGGGCTCCGGAAACAGATGACCTAATTTCTAGTTTCCTCTCTGCCACTTTAACTGTCTGTGGCACTTAGCCAGGCCCTTCTCCTCTCTGTAAAATGCCCGTTTCTCCTTCTGAAAATGAATGGGCACGACAAAATGTGCCCTCCAAGATCCCTCCCAATGGTGCCTGGGAAGTGGTTCTCAGATTTTAGAGTGCACCTGAATCACCTAAAGAACTTGTTAAAACTCATATTGCTGGGCCCAGCCCCCAGAATTTCAGATTCAGTAGGTCTGGGGTGGGGTGCAAGAATTTGCATTTCTAACAAGTTCCCTGATGATACTGATGCTGTTGGTACAAGGACCATGCTTTTAGGACCACTGGTTTGGGCAACCATAAAACCAGGACTGTCAGCCGAACCCAGCATCCATCCAGCCTCAGAGGCCCAGGGCCAGTGAGTGGCTGGTCAAAGGGTCCAAGAGAAGCCAAAGTTTGATAGGGCCTGGGAGAATTTTCTCTTCCAGTTCTTTCTTCTCCCCAGGGCAGTACTGTGGGAGTTGCATCAGGCCCCTGGGGAAGGTGCTCCTGGATAGAAATAACTGGTAATCAGGCCCTTGGGTAAATGGAGAGGCTGGAGCCTGAGCTGGAGGACTCGGGGTTGCAAGTTGCATGAAGGGTTGGGGCCCAGAGCTGCAGTTGCTCCTTCATTTGTGGTTATTTCTAACTAATGTGAGAAGTCCATGTTCATTGTTGAAATTTAGAAAAACAGGGCGAGACAAATAAAATCGCTAGTGTTAACATTTAAGATAGTGTCTTCTGGTTAAAAAAAAATTTCAGTCTCTCTTATTTCCTAAGCTAGACAGTGGCCCCATTAGCATCTATTCTATGATACGTCTTAAAACTGAACATCTGCACTATGTTGTGGACAGAATTGTGACCCCCACCAGTTCATATATTGAAGTACTAACCCCAGAACCTCAGAATGTGACCTTGTTTGGAAATAGGGTCGTTGTACATATAATTAGTTAAGATGAGGAGTAGGGTGGGCCCCTAATCCAGTATAAGTGGTATCTTTATAAAAAGGGGAAACTCAGACACACACAGGAGAATACCAAGTGTAGACTGGAGCTCTGCTACCAAGAAACAACCAGAAGCCGGGAGAGAGGCCTGGAAGCAAACCTTCTCCAGCGCCCTCAGGGGGAACATTGCCCTGCTGACACGATCTGACTTCCAGCCTCCGGGACTGTAAGCCAATACATTTCTGTTGTTAAAGTCACTCAGTTTGTGGTACTTTGCTATAGCAGCTCTAGCGAACTGATACACATTACATACCCTCTTTTGAAATATAGTTCACAGTTAAAATACATTTTTTAAGTACCAAAAAGAGTATATAAGAATAACATAAGAAATACCCATGTACCCTCCACTCAACATTTGCAGTCTATTTTTCCAATGAATTTATATCTGTATCTCTCCCCAGCCCCCTAAAACTCTTAATAGACTTCCACTGAACTCCCTGGTCTACAGCCTATTTTTCCAACCAATATATCATGATTATCTTCTCCAACAAGTTTTTAATCTGTTGGGTTTTTTCTGACTAGAAACATTCCTATGCAAAAATGCTTAAATATTACAGAAATTTACAATGTAAAATCTCCCTTAATTCCACCTTCCAGAAAGAACCAGTCCTAACAGTTCACTATATGCTTCTCCAGATTGTTTTTTTACATGCACACACTAACATACACAGGTTATTTACATGCAGAAATGGCATCATGGTCAACTTACAGGTGCATGTGACTTACGGCCTTGCCTTTTGTTTTTCTTACCCATGTTTTGGAGGTCTTTCCATGTCTGAACAATGGATCTTATTATTATTATTATTTTTTTTTTAGATTTTATTGGGGAATTGGGGGAGGGGAACAGCACTGGGGAATCTGGGGAAGAGGAACAGACAACTTGCTGTCCTTTTGTTCTTCAGTCTAGTTGTGGAGGACGTCATTTTACTGGCCCATGTTGGTGTTATCATTGCGCTCTTCCCTGGTGAGGCAGATCGGTCGCTGGCCTCTGGATGGCCGCTCACAGCGGCTCTTGGCAGCTCACACCTGCTGCCGGCCGCCCACGCTGGCTGCCGGCCACACACAGTAGCTTACCGCAGCCCACTGCAACAGGGGCTGCAGCCTAGGCTGTCACCGGCAACTCAGGGCAGCCCAGCTCCAAGTCGAGCTGTTGTTCAGCATCTTAGCTGTGGAGGGCAGTGTTACTGGCCCTCATATGTGGGATCCGAACTGGCTCCCTCTGGCATCCCAAGCCAGTTCTTAACCATCCCATCACTTGGCCGGCCCTGGATCTTATTTTTAATGGTTCTGTAGTATCCCCTTGAGTATGTGTAACATAACTTAGCAAGCAGCTGAATTGATTTTTCAGCTTTCCACAAATATTAATCATTTTCATGAGGCCTCTGATTAGACAGACCTGCGTGCTGGGATCTGGAATCTACCAGTTTCCCGCTGCCCCACCCTAGCTGCTCTCTATTCTTAACTGCTCCACACCATTCATCCTCGCACCCGATTCCAGAGAGAACTCATATGCCCAGGGCATGCGCTGGCAATAAATACATATTGCCTATTATGAATTGGCTTTTGCTCCAAATCCCTCAAAATTTCCTGGTCCACAGATCTGGACCATGTGGAGATTTCTTTTTGCCTGGGCCTCAGGCAAGCTTGAGAGACCTCCCCCCCCCGCAAGTCTCTTAATCCCTTGGGAAGGTCAGAAAGGGTCAGTTAAAAAATTACACTGAAACTACCAAAAATTAAAAAAAAAACCCGAGTTATATTGAAGAAAACAAGGGCTGATGGAATTTCTCTTTAAGATCTAAATCTTGGCATGCCTCCTTGGTTATTCTGTTAAATTACATTTCTAGATGTGAAATTGCTGGATCAAAGAGAATGTTGGTGTTTAAAGTTTTTGATATGTAATACCCAATTGTCAAAAGGTTACATCAATTTTTAAACCTACCAGCAATGTGTGAGACTGCTTGCTTCCCAAAGCCCTCATCAGTGCTGGGTATTGCCCTTTTAAGAAAAGTGGCCATTGCTGGTCAGGCTAAGTGGTTTGCATTCAGAAAACACGGTCCAACAATGCAAAGTAATAGAATAATTCAAATTCTTGCATTTTTCAAACACTACAAAAGGGAAGATACCCAGCCCACAGCTATGCTTTTAAAAATCACTCTTTTCTTCCCCAGCCCACATCCTTTACACACTACAGGTGCCCCTGTGCCCCATCTTCAGTACCTGTTACCCCAACACCCCCATGTTATATTTTGAGGAGCTTTTCCTCCTCCTTCCTACCCAGCTGTGTGTGTGTGTGTGTGTGTGTGTGTGTGTGTGTGTGTGTTCTCAATCCTGTCCATTCTCAAGTTCTGCATCACAAAAGCCCCAAAGAACTACACTGGCAGGGAAAGCCCCTTCTTAGATGGTGCAGAAGGGACAAAACCACACAGGCAAAATCCTTCAGCAGGTGGGGAGGGAAAATCTTTCATCATTTTATCTGGTCTGGTCCCATTCGAGTGGTCAGCCATGGGCTCCTAGAAGACTGGTGGGGTGTGTTGGCCTAGTGTCCCTTGCACTGGGCTTAGCACACAGGAGTTAATATTGCTTCAATGAAGGTGGGAGCACTGACAAACCTGTCTTGGGGGTAGCAAGCCATTTTACAGAGATGTTTGATCTAGGCCTGGAAGCAAGAAGTTTATCTTGGGCAGCAAGAAGGACAGCTCTTCCTCTGAAGAGGGACTTGAGAGTGGGGGAAGACGAAGATGAGGGAGGGTGAGAAGGTGGAAGGAATCCCACTAGATAGCTTTATTGTTCTCTAAGAAAAAGGAGAGTTGGATATGGGATGGGGAAGAGGCAAAGGTTTGGAAAAGCCACAGTGGGGAGGCGGAGAGGGACGGTCCAGGGTCAAATAGAACAATTGCTGGGCAGTGGTGAGGGCTCCGCTGAGGGTGGAGGCAATGATTTGTGGGTATGGTCTTTGCGGAGCCTCAGATGATTGGGTTACAGGGATTGGGGAATCCATCATTTATTCAACTGGGAGAAAATGAACATGTCAAACGGAGTGGAATGCTCCTTAACACTGAAGAATGAACCGGGTAGGCATTAGATTGTGAGAGCAAAGCAGAAAAGCAGGTTCTATTTCGAGAGGGGGGAACTGGAATTTAAAATTTCATGCGAACCAGTTGTGTTAACCTGGGGGTGCGTGGCTGAAGTGCAGCGGGGAAAGTCATGGAGATGAGCATGTCAAAGAACTGGAAGCCAGGGTCGGTCCCGAGGCTGTTAAAGTCCCAGAATCCAGGGCGGCACCGTGAGCCACGTGACAACCCCTCACGATTGGCTGACAGTGAAGCATAGCTGGGAAGATGGCGGCACAGCGAGGACCTCGTCGGAGTAGGTCTGTACACACAGCGGCATGCAGTATGCAGGAGGGCAGTGAGGAGCAAGGGGAGCTCGGACCCTTCCTCCTGTCTGGACAAAGACAGGGGCGATGTGGGAGGGGGGAGTCTACTCCGCACCAACAGAGGAGTAGAGACAGGGCTGGATTTCCAGAAGCAGGGTGCAGCTCCAGCCACTAATTTGTTCTGTGCCTCATCTCTGAGCCCAGTTTCCTAAAACGTATCAAAGAGAGTAGGTTAGGGTTGTGGCACTTTGAGTTCTGGGACTCGAGGAGGACAAGAAGGCATGGTAAAAATGGCAGAGGGGTTTAGCTGGGCCTTGAACCGTGGGGCTAGCCCGGGCAAGTCCCGCTAGTAGCGTCGCGCGTCTCCATGGCGATGGGCCGCGTGGCCCGAAAGCGGGCGGAGTTTTGGGTGGGGCGGAGCATCTCTGTGACGCCTGGGTCTGGGCCTAAATGGCGAAACCCGAGAGGCTCACGGCGGGGTTTGAACTGGCCAATGGGCGAGCTGCCGACCGGGTGTCGGAAAAGTAGGCGGAAGCGGGGAGGAGCCGCCGCCGGAGCCGGACTACATCCGCCGCGGCGTCTCCATGGCACGACCCTGGCCTCCGACTTCAACGACTTCATAAGGAGGCGTTTCTGGGCGCAGCCGTGTCGCTCCTGGTGAGAGGCCTCCGCTAGGCGGGACCCGAGGCGCTCCGGGGCGCGCCGCAGCCGCCGCCGGGTCTAGTCCCCACGGGCGGGATGGCCCCCACCGGGGTCGCCCCCGCCTGCAGCCCTCTGGCGCGCTCGTCCAGCTCCGGTCAGAATCTGGGCCCCCGCCCCGCCCACCGGCGCGGGCCTTCTCCAGCTAACGGGCGGGCCGGTTGCCTCTCCCCTCACCTGGCCACCGGCGGGGCTCGGCCCGCTTCTCTGCTGCCCTCTGGCAGGGCTTCGCCCTTCTCTCTATGGGCAGAAACTGGTTTCCTCCTGCCCGCTGGTGGGTGGTCGTCCCTTCTATCCACCGACGGAGATTGGCCCCGCGCCCTCTTGCCCGCCGGTGGGCGTCGCCCAGTCCGCCCTTCCCTCCCCGCGGGCCTGGGCACGGCAGTTATTTGTCCGCTCTTCGTAGGCAGCACTGTCCCCCTGGGGACCCCTTTCGGGTCCCCGAACCCTCTGGAGCTAGTTGACCCTTCCAGGGGGATCTTTCTGGGGGGTCCCGCCCCGCTCCCTGCACAACCCGGTGTCTAACCCGCTCTAACTCGGATGCTAGATTCCCAGAGGCTGCTGCTGCGCCCGGGAGAATATTCCCTGCGCTGTCGGGGTTATCTACTAGTGGCAGAGCGCCCCTTTATCTCTGGAAACCTCCGCTCCTCCTTCTTTCAAATACTATTGGTCCTCTCCGGGTATCTATTTGACGGGAACGCCCCTTCTCCTAGAAGACAGTTGCCCCGGTCCCGCCCCGAATATACCCCGCCACTCTCCCAGCTCCCTGCGTGGGTTCTGGCTCTTTGGGGCCCATTTGGACCCTAGCGGTTCTCGCCCACCCTCGACGAAAGCCAGCCAGCACCTCAGGTTTTACCCTTGGTGGCCACGCGCCTTCCCTTCCGGGTGGGGCCTAGGTGTGGTGGTCCTTTAGCTCGAAGTCCCCCCACCCCCCCACGTTCCTCCCTGGGGAGGGGAGCTACCACCGCGTCCCCTACCCGCCTGCTGGCCTCCGTCACACAGGTCGCTCAGCCTCTCCTATCTCACCCCACTTTGGCAGGACAGTTGCTGTGCGACTTGGACAGTAGAGAGGAGCACCTCCCAAGTTGTCATCCAAGTGCCACCCCCAAAGCTTCCACCCTCCTCCCCCTCAGGAGGACATTTGATGCTGGGCCCCTGAGATTCTCATTGACAAGCCCCTCTGGGTACCCCTGAGCAGAGCCTGCTGACCCAATTGTCCACCTTTGCGGCTTTGATGCCTAGTCATGTCTGCCTCATCCTCAGGAGGCTCCCCCAGGTACTGCCAATGTGGGGGGGGGGCCTCCGCTGGAGGGCAGGGAAAGGTAGTCAGGGGCCTCCAGGTTGGAGGCTTCTTTATTCAGCCTCCCTGTTCAGTGTACTGAAAGTCTGAACCAAAATATTTGGAAATCATTTTTAAGGGGAAAGAGGAAAAAAATGCAGACATGATCTCAGCTCTGCCCCCTTAATCTCCCTCCCTCCCCAGCTGCCCCAGTTCCTGGTAGCGAATAGGGCCACCATTGTTGTCTCAATGGATTACTAGGCTTAGATCCTTTTTGAAAGGAGACCAGGTGTAAAGTAACAATGATACAAGAGGTGGATGCAGCAGTTAGCAAGGTGTTGATGGAGTCCAAGTGTTTGATGGGAAACCCAGTTGAAGGAGACAGATTACCCATGTCTACTGGCTTTTAGTGGACAGAAATATTCTAAGTGAGGAGGGAAAAAAACCATCTACTCAGATTCAGTATTTCTTGGCTAAATGATTAGTAGGGCTCAATATTTTTATTTATTTTTTTTAGCTGAGCCATCCTGCCACCTTTTGGCAGCTCAGTGGCTACTCAGCTCGGACCGGGAATTGAACCGCTGTTGCTCAGAGCTCGCACTCTTGAGCGAGCTCTTAACCAACTGAGCCACTCGGCCGGCCAGAAGTTTTTATATTGCATTATCTTCTCTAAGTTATTTGTGGGGAGGGCGAAGTCGTATTTTAGTATTGTTAGGAGGCAGTGGGATGGATCAAATGAACTTCTCATCCTGGAATTCTCAGATGTACTGCTGCCAAATTTTGGAGATTAAATGTTTGCTGTATTTGCAAATCTGGTGATGGGGCTGTTTATGTATAAGCAAGGTGAGCTACACATGGTATACAAAATAATAATAATAATAATAATAATAATAATAAATAACCCTGCGTCTTAGGAGCTTAAAGAGTAGCAAGTAGAAAATTTTAGGAAATAGTAATTTTTCATCCTGTTAGTTGAATATTTTGACTCTATTAATTTGAGTCACAGGGACTTTGTTCCTGAGCCTATTGCTCTGTCTTTTTATGTCAGTCATTCACTGAGCATTTCTCCAGGGCTGCCTCTGCCCTGGGCACTGTGCTGGGCACTTTTACCCTTAGTCAAACTAGTACCTTGGCTGATGCTCATGTGCTGCCTGCTTTTTGTCACCTGACAGGATGACAGCTGGGCTTTTCAGCAAAAGGTCACAATACATGTGATGCGATGGCAGGTTAAGAGGCGTTCCCTGCCAATGCCTGTCACCCCTATTTCCATCTTACTGCCAGCACATCATGCCTGTTTGGTGCCTCATGTAAAGGGAGCCAAGCGATTTCAGACTGGTTCTCCCAGCCATCAACTTGTTACCCACCATATGTAGTATATAACTTCAGGAGATCTAAGAAATAGAAGAGCCCTAGTTTTCTGCCTATAATCTGGTTTTTGTGCCTGGGTGCAGGTTTCCATCGTGTGGGAAGAACGGAGTAACAAGTCTCACACAGAAAAAGGTCCTGAGGACACCTTGTGGCGCACCCAGTGTGACTGTGACGGTAGGTGATGTGCACACGGAGCAGCTGTTCGGTCTGCAGGTCTGCCCAAAGCGCTTTTGCACAGCTTTTCTGGGAGCTGTCTTACCCTGCTGGCACAACTGTGGCCTAATACTCTGCTAGGTGCCTTCATGCAGATCCTGCTGATGGGCTGGGTTTTTTTCTGCTTATGGTAAGGCTGCCAGGTATTAGGAGGTTGTCGTAATCCTTCCAGACATATTTCAGAAGTCTTTAGAACATATTTAATGTGTTCTAAATAATAATAATAATGAAGGAGAAGAAGAAGGGGAAAAAAAAGATTGGGAGGGGATAGGCGCTGATGGTGAGTATGTAGCTGGGGTTTTGCCTTGCTTACATTTTCTTTAGAATCCATAGAACCTTCTTAACTCAGCTTTCTGTTTCAGTAGTCTCTTCCCTGCCTGGTGTCTGGTTTATTTTGCGCCCTAATCATTTTGTGTTTCCCGTGCTAATGGAGCATGCCCGGTTTAGATTGCGCTGTGGAAGGATTTGCCTGCTTCCCAGCTGTGCTGCGCTAAATCTAAGGAGGAGCTGTGCATTCCAGCAGGCTGGGACGAGAGCCAGCTCTGAGGACCTGGGCCCGGGTTTGGGCCCTTTTGTCGAATGTGCGGGTCTTGCAGACCCCCTCGCTCAGTTGGACCTGGACCTCTGGTAGTCCTCACCTGGGATCTCTGCAGGAGCCTGCTGAATGGCACTCCCTCCTTGGTTCCTGCCTGCATGCCAGTAGTTAGTGGCTGTCCTGCTCGCTTGGTGGCTAGGCTCTCAGTGGCCCCAGAGGCTGCGAGCTCTGTTTTTTATGCCCAGTTTGCTCATCCACAGATCAGCCTTTTTTGTGTTGTTCTCCCCGGCCTGCCAGAAGCGAACCATGAAGGACCGCTCTTCAACTCCCCCCTTACATGTTCACGTGGATGAAAACACCCCCGTCCATGTCCACATAAAAAAACTCCCGAAACCATCAGCGACCAGCAGCCAGGTAGGAGCATGCCAGTGGGGCACGGTGAAGGCTGTGGAGCAGGGCGACACCTCCCAGCTCAGCCTCCTTGTGCTGCCAACTCCAAAGGTTTGAGAGACAAACACACTCGCTTTCGAAGTTTAGTTGCCTAGTTAGAAGGTAGGCAGGACTGTCATCCAGAAATGGCAGCAGTAAGGAGCCTTAGTCAGTAGAGGCTCCCCTGCAGAGTTGGAGATGGATGCCACCCGAGTGACGCCACAGCCAGCTGTGTGGGGACGTGACGCTGGCTTTGTCCCTTTCCACAGAAATCTCATAAGCGCGGAATGAAAGGGGACACCGTGAATGTGCGGCGGAGTGTCCGGGTGAAAACCAAGGTACCTTGGATGCCCCCTGGAAAGTCACCTGCCCGGCATGTGGGATGCAAGTGGGAGGTAGGCTCTCTCTGTTCAGGCTTTTCTTCTCGGACTGGTCAGGGTCTAGCAGGCCTCATACTCGAGCTGGTATGACTCGGGGTTGGTTGTAGCTGTTAGACACATCCCAGTAGTCCTGTTTACTGAGCACCTTACTAAACCCTGAAAGCACGTGAATCTTCTTGAGTCCTCATGACACTGCGATATGGTAGGTCCTGCCCACCCCATGTACAGATGCGAAAACCAAGGCCTGGAGAGGTGACATCTCAGCGAAAGTTAGCAGAGCTGGAGTTAGGACTCAGAGGGTCCATTCAAGAGGCTATACTCTTGGCCTCTAGTTTGTTTGTGAGGAGCCACATGTCATTTCTCATGTAACTGTGATAGTATCTGAAGCATAACAAAAAATATATATACCAGAGTGTACGTATCCAAGAAAGCATCGCCTCTTCTGAGGTGGTCTCCATAAGAGTTCATGCCCATATTCCACAGATGTCATCAAAGTTTCTGTTGGAGCCATTTGCTGGGGCATAAACTGACTTCAGTATTAGTTGTCAAGATACCAAGAGAACTGTCTTCTTTTTTTTGCTTCAACATGTTTTGCTTGTCTGTCGATCCATCCATCTGTGTAGTAATTCATGCACATTTATTGAGACTTGTGCCAGATACTGCTGGGCACGGGTTACAGCTGCAGAATGGCAGATATACCTTCCTTCTGCTTATATTCTAGTCAATTGCAGTGAAAAAACTCAATGATAAGACAAGGCCTTTTGGTCACGTTTTAGACAAAAGATCTCATTATTTGGGACAAGTAAAGGACTTGAGACTACTTTAAGAGGCTGATACCTGATCTATTGTGAAAGATTCAGTTTTTTTCTGATAGCTTATTACTTTTAAAATTAGAAATAAAAAATAAAAGGAATTACTCTGAAGTTTATAGTCATACTTCATGGTTTTGACTCCCTGATTTACCAATTTGTCCCAAAGAGGCAAAGGGAGTATGGGATATTATTCTAGGGAATAAATGAGAAGCGTTCTGGCCAGTATATAAATCTAAGTATAAGGAAGATTGGAATTCAAATATCGTCTTACATTTTTTACTATGGGGATCTCACTAGTAACCAATGAAATGTAAATTAAAAGCTATGTTTTAAAAACAAAAACAACAAGCTCTTATTTTTATTGAATGGAAAAAGGTTGAAAAGATTACAAATATCTTGTGTTGGCAAGCATACGGGGTGTCAATGAATGTTTTTACACAGTTCTAAGAGGATCGTGAAACTGATTGAACTGTGCTGGAGGCAGCGTGGCAGCATCTATCCAGTGATTCTGTAGTTTAGCACTTAGGAATTTATCCTTAAAAAGTCAGAAGAATACAGGGATCTGTGTTAAAGATGTTTGTTATAGTATTGTTTGGAACAGAAAAATTGGAAGCAACCTAAAGTCTATCAGAAGGGTATTGGCTAAATTATGATACATCATACAATGGAATACCATGCAACCATTCATTACAAAGATTGAGGTAGATATTTACATGTGATAATGAATCACGGAGCCACACAACATGAAGAGTTTGGCCCAATTTGTGCAGAAAAGGGCATTGATGTGTCCATGTGTGTATGGATATGTTTGTATGTACGTAACATTTTCTGGGAGGATATACAAAAAGTGGTAAGCGGTGATTACCTCTGGAGTGTGGGAAGCTTTTAATGGTTTACTTTTTTCATGGCCTGTGTGAATTTCTTTATAACAAGCATACCATATAACTTAAAATGCTTTTCAAAAAAGTGAAAAGACTTGGTAGTTTTCGAAGTACACATCAAAGTTATGCTGCTATGAAAATTGACTTCCTGTTGACATAAGATGCTAGGAGCTGTGGTCCCCTCTGGAAATCTCAATGTCCCTTCCAGTCCTGGGGCCACAGAATCCTAGAAATGGAGAGTCTCAGAGAGGTGACTTGTCAACTCTCAAAACAGTAGCTCTCTTTCATGCTATTTGGGCCAGCCCTTCTCCACTTTCCAGGGGCCCTCCATGTTGCTGGGAGACCCCAGCCTGGCCCTTTCTATTATGCACAAGAGAGGAAAGACCCTAGAAGGAGGAAGTTTGCAGTACAGCTGGACATGGACCCCAGAAGCTGCTGCGTGCATATGGGGAATTCTTGTGTGTGTTTTTTTTTTAAAAAAAAACACCTTCTGATACATAAGATTAGCTTTGAGAGAAAGAAGGTCTGCTTTTTTTCTCTACCCTATTACTAAATAAAGTGATCTATTTTTATTATGGAAAGTTGAAAAAAAACAGAAAAATAGACAATCACCTAAAATTCTCCTGTTCTAATATGCCTGCTATTAAGTTTTAAAAACTTATTAGTTGAAAAGTGCAGGAAAGACACATCAGAAATGTGTTGTTTGATGAAGTTTAAAAAAAATATATGTGTAACCATCACTCAGCTCAAGAAACACATCACTAGCTTCTCTAGAATCTCCCCTCTGGTCGTATTCCTCTCACTACTCTCCTTCCCCCACAAGCGTACTCCCTGTCCTGAAACTAATATTTTGGTACTTTTACCATCACTGTTTCCTATACAGTTTTTTTCCTTTGTCGTTTCTTTTTCTCTCTCATTATAATTGTAATGTCTCTATATTTTCCTAATTTTCCTATTATCCTTTTTTTAAAATATTAAAAGTAACTTTTTTCTTATATAAGCAATGCATAGTCATTGTTGAAAAATTAGAAAATCCAAATCAGTACAAGGAAAAAGTAAAAAACACCTGTGATCCCACCACCCTGAAAATATCCATGTCACTTCTAGGTAAGTGCAAGCCTTCCTGATCTTATGAACAGACTCAATTCTTTTGATTTTTATAACAAGGAATCATATTTTACTTATCGCATACATAACTTTTTTTGTACACATATTTTTACTATATTTGCATTGCACATTATTTTTTTTTTTTTTAATTTTTATTGGGGAATTGGGGGATGGGAACAGCACTGGAGAATTGGGGGAAGGGGAACAGACAAGTTGCTTTCCTTTTGTTCTTCAGTCTAGTAGTGGAGGACGTTGCTTCACTGGCCCAAGTTGGCACCATCATTGAACTCTTCCCAGGTGAGGCAGATCAGTTGCCTGCTTCTGGACGGCACTCACAGCAGTTGCTGGCTGCTCACGCTGGCTGCTGGCTACACACGGTAGCCCATGGCAACCCACTGCAGCAGGGGCTGCAGCCTACGCTGTCGCCGGCAACTCAATGCAGCCCAGCTCCAGGTTGAGCTGTTGTTCAGCATCTTAGCTGTGGAGGGCAGTGTCACTGGCCCTCATATGTGGGATCCAAACCGGGGCCCTCTGGCGTCCCAAGCCAGCTCTTAACCACCGCGCCACTCGGCTGGCCCCATTGCACATTATTTTTTAAGGCAGTATTCCATTGTGTGTATATTTGTACCGTTATATATTTAGCCAATACTATCTTGTCATTACATTTATTTATGTCCTTGCCTTGAATTTCAATATTGGTTCACATTCTTAGATCTTCTTGATAAATTCCTAAAAATAGAGTCGCTGAGACCAAAGACACATGCATTTTTTAAGTTGTACCCTGTGATTACACCCTTATTAAACACTTTTATTCCTGATAGCCATCATCTTTCCTTGGAAATTGACACAGAAGGTCATCCACCTCGGCTTAAGAGGAGCAAAGAACTGTACAAATAATGAGAAGTAACAACTATTTAATGTACCAGAATAAATTTACAGAATGAGCCAAGTTCAATTTATCAAAAACCCATGGAAACCCTGGCCCCTAGATTATAATATCTTCCTTTCTGAAGTCTTAAAAGCAAAGTGTTAAACAGTTTTACATAAACTTTTCTGAAGGGACCATGCATTTAAAAAAATTTTTTTATACTGTGTGCGTAAATGTTTTCCAGGCATCATACCATAGTAAATTATTCATTATGCGTTTCTAATAACATTTTTCTACATAGCCAAAATAACAATGATTTCTAAAAACTTTATTTCTTAATATCATATAATACCTGGTCCATATTCAGATTTCCTTACTTATCCTTAAAATTCCTTTAAAAGATGATTTGTGTACCTCTGCCACTACCCACCATCACGCATTCATATTCATTTCAAAGACTTTTGACATATTTCTCTTCTACCCTAGGTATATGAAAACGTCCCTTGCTTTAGGAATTACTACTTTTGTGGCGTGTTCTTCCGAGACCCTGTGGTTGGTCTGTTAGCCGTGTTAGCTCTTTCTGCCTCCAGTGGACAAGCACATGCGGTTCAAGTGGTTGCGGTTTTGCCTTACGAGTCTGTGTGTTCTTTCTCTCCCATCAGAATCCACCTCATTGCCTGGAGATCACGCCACCATCTTCGGAAAAGCTGGTCTCAGTAATGCGTTTAAGTGACCTCTCTACAGAAGATGATGACTCGGGTCACTGTAAGATGAACCATTATGATAAGAAGATTGACAGTCTCATGAACGCAGTTGGTTGTCTCAAATCTGAGGTGAGGGAGGTGGGGGGCTGGGAGAGCTAGTTCCCTGAGGACATGTGGGTTCCTGGTGGGCACTCCCTCCCGGCTGCCTCCCTGCAGGCCTCTCACGCTTCTCAACAGGCTGCCCAGGGCTTCGGATGCCCCTGGACAGATAGCTGGGGCAACCTGACATCCCTCTCCATTAAGCACGGAGCCCAGGCCTGGCCCTGACTTTGCCTGGTGCTGTGTATAGATGGCCTGTTTTCATTTATTACAACAGTAAATAAACCTAGTGGTATTATTGTCCCCATTTTGAGATAAAATGACTAGGACACTGGGGCCCCCTGCTTTCCATTTTACACAAAAGTTCAAAAAACAACAACAACAAAGAAGCGAAGGAAGTTTATTCTTGGTTGCTGGGCTGTGTCTTTGGGTGGCGTATGGCAATGAGATTGTAACAACCTGGAAGACCACAGCCCCCACCCTGGAAGTTGGTGGGGCTGGCATGAAGCCTGGGCCTTGGCTCCTAATGTGGCCTGTGTCTTTAATTCTTCCCCTCGCACTCGGGGCCCGTGGGCCCTCCTGGAGAATCTGGGGCTGGCTGCCTGGCAACGGTCCCTTCTTCCTCTATGGCCCACAGCACAGGGGCCTTTTTGTGACATCTCTTCCTGTGGTGTGCCAGCTGAACCACGGTTTGTATCCTGGCTCGGTCCCTAACCAGCAAGCCGCGCAGGCTCTCTGTACCTGGTTTCCTCAGCAATGAGGAAATGAGAGGAATATCTGCCCAGAGTCTATGTGACAGTAATTAACTAAGATTGCGCCCAGAGTACCTAAGTGCCCATGCAGCCCTCATTCGGAGGTGCCTTTCACTTGGTGCCTAGCAATGTGGCAGAGGGGAGGAGCCGCCCCTCAGTGGCCCCTGCCTGTGTGCCCCTGCCCAGGTCAAGATGCAGAAGGGTGAGCGCCAGATGGCCAAACGGTTCCTAGAGGAGCGAAAGGAGGAGCTGGAGGAGGTTGCCCACGAGCTGGCCGAGACCGAGCATGAGAACACTGTCCTGAGGCACAACATCGAACGCATCAAGGAAGAGAAGGACTTTACCATGTAAGACAGCCCTGACCTGGGCTCGGTCCCTCCTTAGTCACCTGAGTCACGGTGTAAGGGAAAAGGACCCCCCTATAGACTGCAGTGGGGGGACGCGGTCAGGGAAGCCTTTCTGGAAGACTCGATATTTAAGGGGAGTCCTGCAGGTGGTTAGCAGTTAGGCAGGTGGTTGCCGGGGACCATCTCGTGTGAGGGCTCCAAGATAGGAGGAGTTTGCAGCTGAGACATGGAAAGCAGGCCAGAGTGAGGAGAGGGCAAGGGGTGCCACGGAGTTTGGCAGGGACCGGCTCTCAGCAGCCACTTTGAGGAGTTTGTATTGAGGGCAGTTGGGTGCCATGGAAGGGTTTTCAAAGCAGGGAGTGGTGTGAGCAGACTCGGCTCCATTGTGGAGAGTGGATGGGAGGGCTCAAAAGCAGGTCTGCAGATGGTGGTTAGCAGGCCATGGCAGTGGCTAGTGGCAGAGGTGACACCAGTGGTTGAGAGACCAGCAGGGCTCCAGGTGGTATAATGTCCCCTGGTGTGGAAACCCTGCTTTGGTGCCCAGCTGTCTTTCCAGAAGGCCACTCAGGCCAGAGGACCAGCCCTTTCCCCTCCCCCACTGTTCCCTGACCAGGAAATGAGCCTCACAGGGCATTGTGAGGTGAGCCTCGGAGCTCCGGGCAGGCAGGGCCTGTGAGGGCTCACAGAGCCCTATTCTCTCTGGCCCTAGGCTTCAGAAGAAACACCTCCAGCAGGAGAAGGAGTGCCTCATGTCCAAACTGGTCGAGGCTGAAATGGATGGGGCTGCTGCTGCCAAGCAAGTCATGGTCTTGAAGGACACCATCGGAAAGCTGAAGACGGTGAGTCGAGGGCAGACCAACCCAGCCCTGGGCCCAGGGCCCAGAGATGGAGCAGCCACAAGCTGGGGCGGGGGCTTGACGCAGTCATCAGGCTGACTTTATGACATCTCCGGGCTGGGGGAGGGCATAGGTCACTCCTCAGCCCCCGCCCCCAACTCTTACTTCCCAGACCTAACCCTTAAGGCTGACCTCTGGTTGCCAGGGCCTCTGAGGAGACCTCATCATGGGTCTCCTGGGATCACAGTGAGTTAAGGCATGCGTTTTGATTCCTGCAAGCATAGTTCAGCCACCAGGTATTGTCATCCTGTGCCTCCTCCAGGAAGCCTGCCCTAACTGCACTCGCCTATGCTGAACTCGCCGCTTGTTGCTCAGCAGGCTCAGTTCCTGCCCATCCTTCCGGGTCCAGCACCTCTGGGAAGCCTGCCCGCACCACTCTGGGCCTGTACACTGCCCAGCTCTTCTTGCCTGGGCTTCCTGGCACCAGCACCTCTTACGTCCCCCGTGTGGCCTGCCTCTGCCGGCTCCTCCCTTCTCCCCCTGTACCTTACTAGACTGCTTCCCGTCTTCCAGGAGAAACAAATGACCTGCACGGACATCAACACCCTGACGAGGCAGAAGGAACTTCTTCTGCAGAAGTTGAGCACATTTGAGGAGACCAACCGCACTCTCCGAGACCTGCTGAGGGAACAGCACTGCAAAGAGGTAAGCTCCTGGTTCCACCCCACCGCAGGCACGTGGACTCAGCTCCAGCCTTCTAGCGCCATGTGCCCATCCTCCCTGAGCCTCATTCTCTTCTGTGAAAAGAAAATGCTGTTGGTGCCCGACCCAAGAGGGCCGTAGAAAGATTTGATGAAACCATTCACGCCCTGGGTACCTGGTAGGCAGGACTGTCTTAAATGTGGAAGCTGGACCTGGCGGTACAGAGAGGACCTTGGAAGTTGGGAGAAGGGCAGTGGGGAGTCAGAGGGGTTCAGCCCATTCTCAGGTTCATGCAGCAAAACAGGGAGAGTATTAGATCTGAGCTTTAGTAAAGTAAAAGAAAGGCTAGTGGCTGACAGTCACACATTGTATGGTTTTGTTTGTTTGGTTGTTTTGTTTTGTTTTTTGGGGGGTTTTTTTTAGCCAGTAAATGTTCAGTGCTTCGCTTTATGCCATCTTCTCTCTTTCTTCTTCTGCTCTTCACATTCCTGTCATTGCCTTTATTTATTGCTTTTTTTAAAGATTTTTATTGGAGAATTGGGGGATGGGAACAGCGCTGGGGAATTTGAGGAAGGGGACAGACAAGTTGCTATCCTTTTGTTCTTCAGTCTAGTTGTGGAGGACGTTGCTTCATTGGCCCAAGTTGGCACCATCATTGCGCTCTTCCTGGGCGAGGCAGATCAGTCTCTGGCTTCTGGAAGGCCGCTCACGCTGGCTGCTGGCTACACACGGTAGCCCATGGCAACCCACTGCAGCAGGGGCTGCAGCCTATGCGGTTGCCAGCGACTCCCGGGCAGCCCAGCTCCAGGTTGAGCTGTTGTTCAGCATCTTAGCTGTAGAGGGCAGTGTCACTGGCCCTCATATGTGGGATCCAAACCGTGGCCCTCTGGCATCCCAAGCCAGCTCTTAACCAACGCGCCACTCGGCCGGCCCACCACTTTGTTTTCTTAAAAGATGGTCTTTGAAATATAGTTTAGATGATAAAGATGAACTGGGCACTTTAAGGAAACGGATCAGGCTGGGAGGTCCATGGGAAGAGCTGAGCTCATGGAGGTTCATGAGGCCACCTAGTTGAACTCGATGATCCTGACTTCCTTCTCATAATCTCTATGGTTCTAACTTCCTGTCTCCCTGCCTTCTGTACCCTCCACGTTGGCACAGGAGCCAGAATGTGCCTGTGTCGAGCCGGGTCTGCATGTGCTGATGTAGTCGCAGCTCTTTTTCCTTTTCCTGAATAAATCCTTTTGGTGATAGACTACCTAATCAATGTCATTGTTCCATTGACATATATTATTAGTAAATGATTCAGAAAAGATAGACAGTATAAGCAGCTGTCTTCCTATTTGGTTCAAACCAAAGGGATACCAAGACTCTCAAAATACCCGTGCTAATGAATGATGACATTTTTCTTACAATAGTAACTTTTTTGTTTCCAACATTGTCAACTTCTCTTGTTTTTATTTTTTTAAATTAATATTTAAAATAAGTGATATAATGTGCTATACATCGCTGTCCAGCTTTCCAAACAAAACCTTGTCCATATAGTTAAATCCTCTTGTGTGTCCTTTCGTGATGACCTCATCTCCCTCCCCTCAGAGGGGACCTTCGTCTCAAATCTGACAGTTTTATTACTTATGTGTATATCCCTAAACTACATTCAGCATTGTTGAGCATGTCTTCAAACTTCACGTAAATGGTATTGTTCCATATGTGTTCTGAGTTTGCTTTTTTCACTCAGTATTTTTATGAGATTCATCCATTTTTATCCTTGAGGCCTCAGGTAATTAATTTTCACTGTTGTATCCCATTTTATGACAATACCACCCTTTATGTATTCGTTCTTCTGTGGGTGGAGACCTAATTTCAGTTGTTTGCTAGTACAGCAGTATTTTGAGCACTCGTGTACACTATCCTGGTGGGCTTGAGAGTTTCTAGAATATATTTCTATGAATTTTACTAGTTATAGCGAAATCATTCTCTTAAAGTAGTTATAGCTTTCATTTCTAGCTCAGTGTTCTCAGGTGGGTGATTTTTACCTCTCTGTGCCTCAGTTTTCCACCTGTAAAATGGGAATGGCATCATCCTCTTGGGGTTGTGTGAAAATTAGGGCTGATGCATGGATAAGGGGTTTGCAGGCTGCCGGGCACATGATATGTGTTTGGTGATGGTAGGTTCTGCTGCTATCTGTCCTGGGGCCTTCAGAAAACTTCTTCATACCCAGTTTTTTTCCATTTTGACTTCTTAGCACCTACCATTCTGGAATTCTGGACTCTCCCATTAGAGATGAAGGGTCAGCCAATTCGAATTCCCACCCACAGCAGGTGTTCCCTGTTCAATCCAGGCTCTCATCTCTTCCTGTCCCCTGTGGCACTTGGGGCTGCACCCCCATCTCAGTGCTTACTGGAGAACAGAGCCATCAATGTGGTGGAGGTGGGGGGCTGTTCTGGCTCTGGGGTCAGTTGGCTTAGGGCTCAGTTCTGCTACTTTGGCTGTGTGATCTTGGGAAGCTCACCTCACATCTCCCAGCCCCAATCTCCTCATCTGTAATGTGGGAGTAGTGACAGTGCATCGTTCCTTAGAATACGAGATTTGGTGCGATTGTGTGTTAGTTTGGGTAGGGTCCTCCTGGGGCCTCGGGAGGCATGGCATAATGGGCAGTGAGAACAGCTTCAGGCCCTGGGTCCCTGGCCTAGGCTATCATCCCATGTTCTTTGCCTCGTGTTGCTGGAAAAACCACAATGCTGGCTTCTTTCAATTCCTAGTTCCCAAGGAAACTTTGGGACCAAGTATCCCTTTTCTCTTGGCTTGTGTAGGGGACCTATGGGATTGAGAGGGAAAGAGAGGGGAGCCTCCTCCTAGGGGCACTTTGTTTAGGTGCTGGGAAGAAGAATAGAGATGGTCACAAAACACTTCCCAATGGGAAAATGGGCAAGGGTGTGAGCAGTTGGGGAAGAGGAAACTCAAATGGCTAAGAAAGAGATGAATAATTAAGGAATGCAGATTAAAACATCAGGAGGCGTGCTGGCAAAGACTGGCAACAGGCAGGGGTTGGCGGTGCCTTCATGTCCCGCCTGTGACCATGGAAATCGGTGCAGGTGTTTTGCAGGGTGTTACATCTGCCACAAACCACACACCTTCCAGCTCAGCCGTCCCTCCTCTTGGTATCAACCCTAAAGAAACACTTTGCATGTGCCCCGTGATGTCCATTGCAGCAGTTTGCAGTTGCAGAACCTGGGATCAACCTTATGGCTCAGAAGTAATGGGGAGATGTTAAAAATGCAGTCGCATATTAGAGACAGAAAGCAGATTAGTGGTTCCTGGAGGGAGGGGAAAATGGGGACTGACTGCTTACTGGGTGCAGAGTTTCCATTTGGGGTGATGAAAATGTTCCGGAACTGGTATTAGTGATAATTGTACAATATTATGAATGTGCTATTTACATACGCCACTGAATTTTGCACTTCAAAATGGTTAAAATGGCAAAGTTTATAAATATTTTACCACAATTTAAAAAAATTAGTAATGTAATATACCAGAAGCTGTTGAATTGTACATTTTAAATGGATGATTTGTATCTGAATTTATATCTCAATAAAGCCATTTTTTAAAAAAATCAAGTTGTAGCACAAAAATACAGTATATCGGTAAAATTAGACATTAATCCCTTCCCACCACCCCACTCCCCAAAAGATAATATTTCGTTACGTGTCACTATGTATAAATGCATAGAGAAAGGATGGGCAGGACACTCATCAAACTAGTAGCAGTAGGATGTGGGGAGGGGGACTTGAGCTTCATCAGTGCTCACTAAATATTTTACAATGAGAATGTAATGTCTTTATGAGTTCTATAATTAGAAATGGAATTTTGGAAAAGGAAAAGAATCGATAAAATGTAGCCACTGGGGCTTATTGCTTCATGACTTGGCTTTCCCTTTGCCTTCCCTCAAAGGATTCTGAAAGGCTGATGGAGCAACAAGGAACAATACTAAAACGGCTGGCGGAAGCAGACTCCGAGAAAGCGGTACATAACCCCCCTGCCGCCTGCTCTAGTGGGCTACTGGCGACAGAGCTGGAAGTGCTGAATGGAGGCAGGAGGGCTGGAGCCCCACCCTGATATTTTTTGGGGTCTTAGTTTCGTGATCTGTAAAACGGGCTGATGTCCCTGGTCCTACCTGCTGCACTGGGCTTGTCTAGTTGATCACTTGAACCACCAAGCTGGACACCAACCTGAGGGATGGCGGTGGTGATGATGATGGACTTAACAAATCATGAGTCTGTCACCTGAATTTTCTTATTTGTGTTATGGATAAAAGGTATCAGAAGGAACAGACTTTCTGACTCAATAATTCCGGTTCTAGGACTTTCTCCAAAGGCAGCATGTTACAAAGTCTATTCCATGGAACCCTAAGTTCCTCAGGATGCTAATGGGTGCAAGGAGCAAAGTGGGGGCGGTGACAGATGGCCAAATAAATTTGGGAAACTACTGGCTGGGCTGAACAAAAAGTTCAACAGTTTTCTTAAGTCCCAAGATCTTTTGGAATCTTTGATGTATTAGTGCTCATAGTGAGTCTCAGAGAGGGGCGGGTGGAGAGAGAGAGAGAGAGAGGAAGGGAGAGAGCAAGGGAGAGAGAAAGAGAGGAAGAGAAGAGATGAGATGAGATGGAGGCCACATTTTCCAAGGTTTGGCCGTTGGCCTCGCCAAACGTTACTGAGAAATTCAGCATTTTTTGGTGATGATGCCTAAACCAGCATTCCCGGCTCCAGAGGCCTTGTCAAATTATGATACATCAGTAAATTGAAACATTAAGTTGCTGTTTCAAAAGATACAGAGGATTTACTCACATTAGGGCAAATGTTGTGGGTGTATGGGTTACAGAACAAAATAAGCATATGACTTCTTTATGTTAACTGTGTCTCTGGGTGGGGGACTTGGGGGTTCTTGAGCGGTTTTTTTGTGTATGTGTTTTTCAGTGTTCTCCACAATTAACATTAGTTTATTTTAAATGACAAAATAAAATACGTGTTTATTGTCTTAAATATTTAATACAGATGTTAGGTGCTTCACACCAGGGTCTGTGACCTGGGCCAGTGCGTTTGGGACCTCAGGCCCTGGTGGCCAGGCCCCCACAGGAGTGCCTCTCCTCCCTGGGCTGGGCCTCCTTGTCCTTCCCAGGAAGCTCACGATGGTGTGTCTTCCCTCCAGCGCCTGCTGTTACTGCTCCAGGACAAGGACAAGGAGTTGGAAGAGCTCCTCCAGGAAATACAATGTGAGAAGGTATCATCTCTGACAGTTGCTCCTTCTTACTGGCCAGTAGAGCTTAGTTGGTACAGTGTGCTCTGGAAGTGGAGACCTGGGTTCAAATCCTGGTCCTTTCCCTTTCTCCGTCTCTCCAAAGGCTCAAGCAAAGACAGCATCTGAGCTCTCTAAGTCCATGGAGTCCATGCGTGGGCATTTGCAGGCACAGCTTCGGTGCAAAGAGGCAGAGAACAGTCGCCTATGCATGCAGATCAAGGTACCTGCTGGCCCCACAGCTGGGGATGGTGGGGGCAGAGGCCTGGCAGTCCAAAGGCAGGGGCCTGGTCAAGGCTATCATATTCCGGAAGGCTTTGCCCCAAAGGATTATGGGGCAGCTGCTGCTAAAGAACTTGCGCTTCAGAGAGACTCGGAACAATGGCAAGAGCAGTGGACCTGGAAGTCTTGGGTGCCCAGGGTTGGGTTCCATGCCTCTAAGTCAGTCACTTCACCCCTTAGGCCCTCAGTTCTCTTAACTACCCATGGGGAGGGGTGGCCTCAAACACTGCTTGCATGTGTGAGCCAGGGACCTTCCGAGGTCACAGCTCTGTTGAGTAACTGAGGATATCTGACCACTATGCTGGGAGTTCAGGAAAGGATTGCAGAAGAGTTCTAACATTAAAACCTGGTGGGTTCAGTGATCCAGAGGTGCTGTGGGGAGCTGGGAAGGGCCCTCACCTCTGGTCGGCACTAGGGGAGCCCTAAGCCCCCACACAGTGGATGACCCGTTCTCTCTCCCTCTCCCCCATTTCCTCTTTTCTCCCTGTCTCCCTGGCCTCCCCCGGCCTTTCTTGCCTCCTCCCTCTCTCCCTGACCCCTCTCTCGCCCTCACCCCGGCCCTCCCCTTCCAGAACCTGGAGCGCAGTGGGAATCAGCACAAGGCGGAAGTGGAGGCCATCATGGAGCAGCTGAAGGAACTGAAGCAAAAGGGAGACCGAGACAAAGAGTCCTTGAAGAAGGCCATCCGAGCCCAGAAGGAACGCGCTGAGAAGAGCGAGGAGTATGCTGAGCAGCTGCACGTGCAGCTTGCCGACAAGGTGGCAGGCCTCCCCTGAGCGGCGTGGCGGGTGGCTGGGGGGAGGTGGGAAAGCTGGGGAGAAGTGGCCGGCTGGGTGAACGGAGGGAAGACGGCAGTGGAGCGGGTGAATGAGCTGGTTGGGTGGGTGGCTGGCTGGGTGGAGGGCGAGGTAGTGGGGAGGGATTAAATGGATAAAAGGGTGATCATGGGGTTGGGTGGCTGGCTGGAGATGACTAGAGGGTATCTAGGACACTTGACCCACATCAGTGTTGTGGGTAGGAATGATGGTTAAAGAAGGATTTGCAAACAGGAGGCATGTGATTGCTGGCACTCTAGAAGCCACAGCCGGCCTCCCACTGTCACTCTCGGTGCTCCCTAGAGAGGTATTGCAGGAGTGAGGTTTAAGTTACCAGGTGAGGGGTCACCCAGGGTGACCCTGCCCCCAGCTACCTCGGCCTTAGCACTGACACCAGGCTGACGGGCCCTGTTGTCCTGTGTTCCCAGGATCTTTATGTTGCTGAAGCTTTATCCACTCTGGAATCGTGGAGGAGCCGCTACAACCAAGTTGTGAAAGACAAGGGGGACCTCGAGCTGGAAATCATTGTCCTGAATGAGTACGTCTCTGTTAGGAGAGGGAGCATGGGCCGATGGAGGGAAGTGGGTGTGCAGGTGGACGGAGCCTGGCGACCTGAGGCCGGTCTCATCACCCGCATGGCTGCCATTTGGTCTCCTCCGGTCAGCAGCTTTAGTGGACTGAGATGTGGACAGCACTGAGATGGGCTTTCTGGTTGGACCTGGGGTCCTGGCTCCTGCCCCAGTCCTGGGATCCTACCCTATCAGCAGACATTGTGGGAGGGAGGGGCCAGGCTTCACTGGTCATAGAGGCCAGGCCTGACTCCAGCTCCTGAGCCAGATCTGGGTCCTGTCTGCACAGCACAGGAAATGGGCACAGGCACTCTGGGGATGGGACAGCTGGTAATCCCCAATTCTCTCTCTGCTGTTTGCCAGCCAGTCAGCAGGTCAGAGGTTTGGCCTGCAGAGTACAAAAGTGTACTCTACAGTGACTATTCAAACGTTCTCAGCGTCAGCTATATTCTGCATTCGTTCATTCAAAAATATTTATTGAGCATCTGGTATATACCAGGCTGTGTGCTAGCCTTCAGGATTATAGCAGTAAAAAAAAGAAATGTGTTCTCTGCCTTCATGGAAGTAAATCTGTACTCCAGCAGAGGAGATGGAGCTATAGAGACCTGGGCTCCCTGGGCTAAGGATGGGTCACAGGGGACTAATTTAGTCTTCAGGTCAGGAAAGTCTTCCCTGAGGAGGTAGGGAAGACTTTTTTTTTTTTGCTGTATTCAACTCAATTTAGTAAACATCCTGAGATGCTGCTGTATGCATGGGTCTATGCCAGGTGCTACCCTCAGAAAGTTCTCCATCCAGTGGGAGAAAACAGATAATTAAGGAGAAGGATGTATGGTACACATGACGGGTTGGGGGAGAGGTGCTCTGAGGGAAGTCTGGGCTGGGTTTTCAAGGGTGAGTAGGAGTTTGCCAGGTAAAACAACATGATGTGTTGGCTTGGGCCTAGTCAATGATCAGTAAATATTTGGTGACTGAACCACAATTGATCGACACTGAGAGCATACGCTGGAAAGGGTCTGCATTGGGTCTGGAAGCATCTGTGACCGCCAGTGCTTCTGTGAGGCCCGGTCTCTGTTCTTGGATTTTAGCCCTGCTAAGTGACTGAGGGGAAGGAGGAGGGCTCAGGGGTAAGTGGGCAGCCAGCTACTGAGTTGGCTTCTTTCCCCTCATCCCATATGTATTCATTGCAACTCCTGCCTGAGCTAGGTGAGTGCTCACACAATGGACAAGCCAATCACGGCACCTACCCTCACCTGGGAGAGACAGCATCCCGGTGTGATACGTGCCAGAGGGAGAGGGGCACCTGGGGGATCCCTGACCACCCAGCCTGGGAGTTCTGTCTTAACTTCAAGACCTGACTGGCTGAGAGATGCAGGGGGTGCTGTGGGGCGCATGGGAGGGGTCGAGTCTGGTCCTTGTCATCAGGAAGTGTCTTGGCCTCATGGGAGGATCAGAACGGAGAAGCCTTGGAGGGGTGGTATGGGAGACAAATCTTAAAGGCTGTTATAAGAGTGGGGATACACGGGGAAGCCACTAGTGGCAGTGCCAGGGCAGGACAATGCAGCTGCTTCCCGGAGTGGAGACTGGGGAGCAGGCGGGGTGCTGAGAGGTGGGACGTGACCTGGGTAGGAACACTTGACCCCACGACACTTGAAGAAAGAGCCAGGTTCCTCGAAACCTGTGTGTAGTTGATGCCCCTTGTCTGTTTTCACTTTGTGACCTTGCAGCCGAGTGACAGATCTTGTAAACCAGCAGCAGACCTTGGAGGAGAAGATGCGGGAAGACCGGGACAGCCTGGTGGAGAGACTTCACCGGCAGACGGCCGAGTATTCTGCTTTCAAGCTAGAGAACGAGAGGCTGAAGGTCTGTAGTGAGAGCTGGGGCCAGGACAGTTGGGGGCACAGCAGTGAGACTGATGGCTGGGCATTCCTGGTTGAGCCCCAGAAATGACCATGAGGGTCTTCAGAGGGCCTGGAGGGAGCAGCATCACTATGGAGTGCCTTGGAGTCAGAAAGTCCTGGCTCTGCCTCTTACTAGCTGCTTTCTGACCCGGGTGAGACATTTCATCCTTTTTGCTGCAGTTTCCTTAGTGGGAGGAAATGAGGTCTTTGTGAGAATGTGGTGATGCATGTGAACTGCCTAACATGACACACTCAGCCCCTGCACATGCAACACACATGACTGAGGTTAACATGGACTCTCCTAGGGGACCATTGGGCCCCTTCACGTGCATTAGTTCTTATGTTAATCTCCCAGTAACGCGGTTATCATCTCTACTTTAGAGAAAAATGAAACAGGCTTAGGGAAAGGTCACGTTGCTTGCCAAGATTTTGCCCTTGGAAAAGTTGGAGTTGGGATTTGAACCTGAGCCTGACACTGGAGCTCTAGCTCTTAACTGCTTGCTGTACACCCTCCTGGCAGGCCTGGGCGAGAGGCCTGAACAGAGGTTGATGTTTCAGAGGCAGGTTTGATCTTGGTTTTCAATTGATCTGGGCAGTAACATTTTTACTGATTGTTTTTGTTGTTAAGTAAGATTGATTTTAAGGAAGCACAACACACAAAAAGGTTCATAAAATGAACACTGTCATCCATCACCCTGATCGAATCTCACTAGCATCCCGCTGGCATCACCTGTTTATAAACACCCCCTGCAGAGGTGACCGTTACCCTGACTGGTATCATCACAGATCAGTTTGCCTGGTTTTGAACTTCGTGCCCAGCTTTTATTCAGTGTTGTTTGTGAAAGTTACCCGTGTTGTGTGTGGCAGTTTATTCATTCTCAATGCTGTACAGTATGACACCACCACAACACATTTATCCATTCTGTGGAGGATGGACATTTGGGTTGTAGAACATCTTTGTACATCTTGGTGGACATATTTGGTGTATTTTTATAGGTTATATGCATTGGAGTAGACAGGTCATTGGGTGGTGTGCATAAGTTTGGCTTTGGGATTTACACTCCCATTGGGTACGTGAGAATTAACAGTTGCTCTGTCTCCTTGTTAACACTTGGCACTGTCACTCTTTTTACTTTTAGCCACTCTGGTGGGAGTGTAGGGTTTCTCCTTGGTTGTCGGGCAAATTAAAGACAGCCTCCAGGTCTAACAGTTGGGAGGTTAGTTACAGGATGGTATCTCTGTGTAGTGTAATACAGTGTGGCCATTCAGTGATGTTTGTGGAAGTGTATTTTCTTAGGTGTTATAATTACAAAGGTAAAATCTGCTCTTACTAAAATCTTAAAACGTTACAAAAATGTGACTGTGGAAATAAAGGTCTCTGTTAACTGTTGTATATTTTTCCAGTTTCTCCCCGCCCAATACTAACACATATTCAAACACAGACACACCCATTCATCCATCCATTATTCAGCAGCTTGCTTTCCTCATTCAACCAACCATGTTTCATGGAAGTCTTTTTATTTAGGTCAATTTTTTAAAGCTTTATCTCTTTTAAAAAAATGATTGCTGATTATTTTATTGTATTGAGATACATGACTTCTTTTGTCCCATCTGCTAAGGTGAGCATTTGGGTTGTAGAAGGACATTTATTGACCTCTAAAGGAGTCATAACGTACTTGTAAATTGATGAAGTATGTTGCAGAGCAGAAAGTACGTATAATCCCATTCTTGTTGAAAAGCAAAGTCACTACACAGCTGTCAATATGTAGCCATAAACCAAGGTATCATGCATCATGATACATTTTTCTTGGTTGTATCTCCGTTTTCTTTCATGATTGTTATTGCTTTTGTAATAAGGACAAGAAAACACAGACATCACTCATTTGCATGTATGTTCACTTGAGTTGTTTCTGTTAGGCATCTTGCCCCGGTGCCTCTCTGAGGAAAATGGCTGGTGTGGGTTTGACTAGGTGGGGCTTCCCTTTGCTGGCCCCTTGAAATAGGAACTGAGGGTGGGACGATCACCTGCTCTGGAACCTTCTTGTTGGTCACTCACGAGCCATCCCTTCTTAGGCTAGTTTTGTGCCGATGGAGGACAAACTGAATCAGGCACACCTCGAGGTCCAGCAGCTGAAGGCGTCAGTTAAGAACTACGAGGGGATGATTGACAACTACAAGAGCCAGGTAGGCCTCTCAGGTGCCCCTGCCCTGCCTGGGCAGCACCTCCCAGAGGCTGAGGGGTTCACCGCGAGATCTCTCCTGGGAAGGGGTGGGTGTGGAAGGCTGTGCCCAAGACGCCCCGATGCTTGGCTGGTCCCTAGGTCATGAAGACCAGATTGGAAGCAGATGAAGTGGCTACCCAGCTGGAACGCTGTGACAAAGAGAACAAGATCCTTAAAGATGAGATGAACAAAGAGATTGAAGCGGTACTGCTCCCCTTCCTTGCCTTCTTCCTCCGCCCAATTCCATGTCTGTCCGTCTGTCCCTTTTGTTTGCCTTTATCCTCTCTGCAGTGGACAAGGAAGACTAACAGATCTTACTGCTGGGCTGGTCCACTTGACCGTGTATGTGCTCTGTCCTGCCTCTCGTCTCTTCTCGTGCTTCTTCATTATCCCCTTTTCCCTCCTGGTTTTCTTCTTTCTCCAGTTTCCTTAAAAATAAATCTCTCCTGCTTGGAGCACTCAAGTGGATTCAAATCCACAGACTTGCCAGGTCTTTGGCATGCCTGCTTCATTCTGTGTGGTGTCTATTTTGAGCCAACCAAAAAATGTGGCTCATGTCCTGTTCCCCAAAGACCCTTATTCTTCTAGAGACAGCTTGGCTATTTTTCTAGAAGCAAAGGGGTCATCTTCACAGTGACCTTGGAGGTGGGCTGAGTCCAAGCTCAGCCACTGACTTGTGGCATAGCCCTGGGCAAGTCGACAGTCTCCTTGTTAATACAAGGGGGACCAAGGCCAGATAGTTCGTATCTTCCCCTCTGACCTATAGATTGTGATGGCCTTCCTAGGCGCTTGGGAGTTAGACTAGACTTTAATCTTGGCTCTACCAGTGACCTTGGGCAAATGAGCCTTTGATCCTGAGTGTCCTTATGCAGGGAGAGCAGCACCTACTTTGTAGGTTGTTGTTCGAATTAACTGAATAATTCCGAGAGCCCTTAGCACAATGCCTGGGTCCTGGTGTTATTCAATGACTAAAGGAGTGGCAGGCTCAGGTGGCAGGTCAAGGCCAAGTGTGTTCCCCCAGAGAACAGCTGGACACCCTCAGTGGCCTGTGGGAGGGCAGGCTGTGCTTCTGCCTGTGGAACCTGCAGGATCCTTTTCTGGGTACATGGTGGCCCTGCCCTAACTCCGAAGGACCCTGCCTGGCCCCTTCAGCAGCCAGGCCCTTCCCAATGGTGGAACTTTCTCCCCCACTCCAGGCACGTAGGCAGTTCCAGTCCCAGCTGGCTGACCTGCAGCAGCTGCCTGACATCCTGAAGATCACAGAGGCTAAGCTGGCAGAGTGCCAAGACCAGCTGCAGGGCTATGAGAGGAAGAACATTGACCTTACAGCCATCATATCAGACCTGCGTAGCCGGGTAAGGGACTGGCAGAAAGGGTCCCACGAACTGGTCCGAGCAGGGGCCCGCTTACCAAGATGAGCTGCACGCCCTCAAAGGGAAGACCACTTCCTTTCTCTTGGCTGTCGTTTCTGAAAGTAGTGAGCTATCATCAGTGCTGTGAAATAAAAGTCTGGTGTGCCAAATGCCTCGTGTTTGCACCAAGTGATTGTAGTTATAGGAGCCGTCACTTGATTGGTTGCTGGGCTCTGCTCTTGCCCGGTCCCCAACTGCTCCAAGTCTCCGCCTGCCTCCGCCCTCGCCCTTGCCCATGCCACTCTGCTGCTGTCCTCAGCCACACACCCGCCGACGGCAAGCCATAGGTGCTCTTTTTCGCCATCGTTCTCTTGTTAAGAGTAGGGAAGCTGCCTTCCCTACTCTTAACAGATCTGTTGCCTGAGATTCTGTCCTGAAAGGACTCCCTTTGTCCAGCAGCCATCTGCCTCGGGTTACTGGACCCTTGCCTATGGTGCCTGAGAAATCACATGCCTCTCATTTTGTAGTGTGATCTTGGGCAAGGCCTTCCCCTCTCTTGACCTTGTAATAATAAAAGTAGCTACCATTTTTTAAGCACATGCCCTGTGCTTCACCATTGTCTCATTTAATTCTTCAGGAACTTTCTGAGATGTATTATTTTCCCCATTTTACAGAAAGTAGCCCAGGGCATACAGGGGAGAAGTAATTTCCTGAGGTTACAGAGCTAATCCTTAGCCAACACGGGCGGGAGCCCAGCCAGCCAGCTCTGTCTGGCTGTCAAACCCATGTGCTTAGTACTCTTCAGTCACCTGACCCCCTTCGCACCTGAGCATTCGGAGGGCCTTTCAAGCCCAGCTGTCTGAGGCTTCTGCGTAAAGCGGCCTTCTGGCTAACTTGCCAAACTTGCCTGCCTGAGAGAATTCATAAATTTCCTGTTGCCTTGCCTGCACTTGTCCCCAGTTCAGGGGAGAATGAAGTCAGCAATACTGACAACATAATTGGTAAAGCTCCCTGGTGTGTCGTGTCGGCCTGCTGTCTGCTTCTGCCTTCTCATGTCTGCCCTGGATCCCACTGAATGGCCTCTCCTGAGCAAGAAAGTGTCATCGTGGCTCTTCAGGATCCAACCTGGCTTCTCTCGGTGCAGGAAAGCCTTCAGTCCTGGGAGTTGGGCCTAACCTGCCCCTGCTCTTTCTCCTCCAGGTTGTGCGTTGAAACTTGGACGCCTGCTGAGGGCAGCGTGCCTCTTTCCCGGGTGTGGATGACAGGTCACAGGGAGAAGGGAGGGCTGGGTCGCGAAGTTCTTTTGTAAACCAGTCTGTGTTCCTGTCATTTTTAGATCGAACATCAGGGGGACAAGCTGGAGATGGCGAGAGAGAAACACCAGGCTTCCCAGAAGGAAAATAAACAGCTGAGTCTGAAGGTGGATGAACTGGAGAGGTTAGAGGCACTTGGTCCCATCTCTGTCCTCTTCCTAGGACCTGAGACTTTCAGCCACTTAGCTGCTTTGGGCTTAGTGTGCGGAAGTGTTTGAGGGACTCAAGGCCCTGGAAGGTACTAGGCAGACCTCAGAGGAAAAGCTGCTCCGTGCAGTGGTAAGCATTGTGGGAGAGAGCAAGGTGGTCCCTGGCCAGGGGGACGCCCCAGAAGAGTGTGATCAAGACCACCCATAGGCACCACCTATCAGGCATGCTTCGTCCAAGCAACCCACAGAGCCAGTATTTGACGGAGAGGGGCATCTCCCCCCAGTTCTGCTCTGTGTTCATCCTTCCCCAAGACCATTCTGATTCCTGTTAGTTGTGGACTGTTGGAGGCAGTCAGAGGTAAAGACCACACCTTTTGGAATTAGAAGCCTGGCCTTGGGGCCCATCATTTAATCCTTCTGAACCTCTGTTTACTCATCTTGAGAAAGGGCTCAAGGTAGGGAAGACAGTCTAGCTCATGAGGTTGTTGTGAGTCTTCAGTGAGATAATCTTCAAAGGGCTTAGCACATTACCTGGCATATACAGAAATGTATAGTACAGTTGGTATTACCCTAATTTAAATATGAGGAAACTGAGCTCGGGGAGAGATTAAGTGATGTGCCCAAGGTCACAGCTGGTCCCTGGCAAAGCTGCAACTTAGCCCCTTGACTGTCTTTGTCCAGAGCTTTCAGCATCTGTGAAGTGAGGGCTGGAGCCTTCGTTTCAAAGATGAAGGGCCTGAGGTCCTCAGAGGCTGTAACTGCTCAAACAGCTGCAGGTAGGGACTAGACCCAGGTGGTCTCCTCCTGGTCTCCACCTCTCTTCCGCTTTGCTGGCCTTCAAGATGCTGCTGGATTCAGCAGGCCTAGCTCCTTACCCTGGAACACGTTCTGGAAGTGCAATGGGGACTGTGTGCACATCAGGATGGTCACTGTTGCCCTGTGACTGGTCACGTAGCATACCGAGTGGTCCAGCTGAAGTCCCTTTGCTGAGGGAGGCAGCAGTGAATAGAAAAAGTGGAGGGCATGGGTTTTGGTGACAGACCTGCCAACTGTGCTGATGGGCCAATGACTTTTCGTCTCTGAGGCTGCGTTTCTTCATCTGTAAAGGGGGGATAATAATGGAACCCACCTTCCCAAGCTGCCAGTTGCCGTATTACATGTGATGACGTGCACACTTAGCACAGGCCGTGGTCAGTCTATGCTTGCTTTTCCTGCTCTTCGTATAGCTGCTCCAGTTGCACAGTTCCTGGCCGCCTGGCTGATCAGCAGATTCCTCTGGTTTATTCCGGTGGCTCCTTGGAGATTCTTGGCGTGATGAGAGCCCCGGTCCCGGTCCTGCCAGAGCCCTGGCAGCCCCCTGGCGGGGTGGAACAAGACAGGAAGGGGTACGGGCAGGATATGACTGAGTGCTCTTACCTAGGAAACTGGAGGCGACCAGTGCCCAGAATATCGAGTTCCTACAGGTGATTGCCAAGAGGGAGGAGGCAATCCACCAGTCCCAGCTGCGGCTGGAGGAGAAAACACGGGAATGCGGGAGCCTGGCGAGGCAGTTGGAGAGCGCCATTGAAGATGCTAGGAGGCAGGTCAGTCTCAATTCCATTACTAACTAGCTCTGTGACCTTGGGCAGATCACCTAACCTCTCTGAGCCTGTTTTCCCATCTGAAAAATGGGCATATAGTAGTACCTGCCTCTGAATTCACCATAAGGATCAAATGTTCAATTACTGTAAAGGACTTGGGACCCAGACAGGTCTGCCACATCTTAGGTGATGACTCACGGGGTGTTGGGAAAGGGCAGGGAAAGCTGGTCGCAGAGGTTATCCCCCTAGTTAGCTCCAAAGAAGTCCCCGTGACAATGTGCTGGTGCAGTCTGGGAGACCCGATAGAGGGGAGTGGTCCAGCCTTCTTGCTAGGTGTTCCAGGTGTCAGGTAAGCAGCTCCACCGTTGTGCCTTCTGGGCAGGTGGAACAAACCAAGGAGCATGCAGTCTCCAAGGAGCGAGCAGCCCAGAACAAAATCCTGGACCTGGAGACCCAGCTGAGCAGGACCAAAACTGAACTCAGCCAGCTGAGGCGCAGCCGTGACGATGTGAGTTGGGCCGGAGGGTGTAGACTGAGATTCTGGCTTCCTGGGGCTGCAGGGCGAAGTGTTTTGTTTGATGTTTTTATGAACATGACATGTTTTTATTTTTCTCTAATCATTTTATTAACAGCTTTATCAAGACATCATTTACATGCCATAAAATTTACTGATTCAAATTGTGCAATTCAATGGTCTATTCTCAGAGTTATGCAAGCATCACCACAGCCTAAGTTTAGAATATCTTCAGAAAGAGGCCCTATTATGCATTAGCAGTCACTCCCCACTCCCCTCCCTGTCAGCCCCCGGCAACCACTAAGAAAGTCTCTTGTGTCACTGTGAACTCGTCTGCTGTGGACGTCTCACACGCTTGCTGCTTCCCCTTGTAGGCTGACCGCCGCTACCAGAGCCGGCTGCAGGACATGAGAGACCGCCTGGAGCAGTCGGAGAGCACCAACCGCAGCATGCAGAACTACGTCCAGTTCCTTAAGTCATCCTATGCCAATGTGTTTGGGGACAGTCCCTTCACTACCTACCTGACCAGCTCTCCCATCCGCTCCAGATCTCCTCCCACCTGAGGCCACCAGTCTTGGGCCAGACGCCCGGACTCATGCCATGGGAACTGAGGAGTTGAGTTGCCAAGCCATACCTGGAAAGCCTGGTGGTTTTCCTCTCTCTCCAGTGATGAAATTTGTTCAGGATCTTGTCCTTAGCTAGGCTCCATGGAAGTCCCTAAAGCAGCAGGGGATGGAGAAGCAGGAACCACTTAGTTCTCTCCTCTCTGATAGTCGCCTGATGGAAGTTTTTCATTACTTTTCCAGGCCTTAAATCTACTACTATTAGGGTACCAGATCTTAACTCACCATGACTTTGCTCATTTGTTTCCTGAGAGAATGTTTGGACTGGATTTTTTCCTCCAGTCCCCATAAGCCCTCTTTTTAGGACTCCCTAGGGTTTTCTCGGACCTGAACCAGCAGGAGCTATGAGCCAGAGGTCCTCACTGCCCCTCCTGGACTGTGAGCATGTCCACTTGTTGTTTTCCTTATTTCGTGGGTACAGTGTTTTCCCTAAGGCTCCCTTCCCAAGCCCAGTGGAGACCTCTCATACCCAAGTTTCTTTGAGGCCACTTGCCTTACGCACTTCACAGTAGCCACTCGAGGGCTCATGTCCAGTTGGCCTTTTAGAAATATAATCCTGAGCTCATTGATTTTTTGTTTCTCTTTGCCAGGTTTTTTATTTTTGTTTCTCTTTGCCAGGTTTGTATCTATGGATAGAAATGCACTTATTCTTGAAATAATTTGTGTTGTTTTACAAAAAGCTTTTATAATCAATATTTAAGACTGCATTGGTTGATTTCCTTTACCCACCCCCGTCCCCTGTCTAAAATGTTTTAGTTAAATGCTGCAGGAGAGCCAGTAAACATTTTTATAAAGTACTTGGTGCATGGAGCATTTGGCTCTTCATTTCATTTTGGCCCACATTGCGCCTTTCTCCTTTGTGTGCTCTCACATAACCCCGTGAGATGACTGAGGCATTGCTGTATTTGGGGGCAGATCACTGGAGCTGTTAGGAGGCAGGTGGGATGTGTATAAATTACTGTTTTTAAAACATTAATTGGTTTCTGAATGGTAAAATTATTGACTTTTTGTTCTCCACATTTTCCTTTATTTAAAAGAAAAACAAATTCTTTAGAGAACAAATTTTGTACTGTGGTGAACCCTGACCTTTTCCTTCTAGCTGGCATTGGCCTTCTGGGTGACCCAGTCTTGTCTACACTGTCACACTAACCCAAGTCCAAAAACAACAGAGAAAACCCCTATGTCCTCAGAGGCAGTGGGTCCCACCCAGCGTCTGGATTTCACCACCAGAAAGCTCCCTTCCCTCCAAATTCTGGTGACTTTTGTAGTTTTCAGCTTTTAATTTTTCCAAGGAAGTTCTGAAAAAACAACTACCAGCCATCATTGCCACAAAACCGAGCCTGTTTTCACACCCTTAACATAAGTGGACTTAAACTTAGAAGGAATACCTTACGAAGAAAAGACAGTCAGCAAATTTACACCAATGTGTAAATATACATATTTATATGTCACGTCCTGCGTGGCAAGGGCAAATGGGTCTCAAGAGCACCGACGAAGATTGAATAAAGTCAAAGAGACAAAAGTAAGATTAGAGCGAGACCAAGGGACTCAGCCAGAGAAGACTGAGCCCCGAATCGGGTCAGCGCATGGCTTTTATTGAGAATTTTCAAAGAAGTAAAACTGCTGTCAATCAATTAGCAACCGTGTGTGATTTGTGTGCCTTAAAGCCTTTTTCTATTAACATATCCCATTGTGTTCCAACAAATGCTATGCCTTCACACATCCTCCACGTAGCCCCAGAACACTTGTTACTGTGTCCTCCCAGGGGAGATAACTATTATCATTCCAATAGGTCCCAGTCACCTGAGACACCCCCCAGAGAGAGCTTTACCGGCCTCAGTCATACCGAGACACTCCCTCATAACTAATAGGGTTAGAGGCTAATGCAGAGGGGGTGGTATTGGAATCGGCTGTAAGGGAACATTTATATAATTCATTTTTATTTTCATCAAACTAATGAAAACCTCAGTGCAGGGCACTGGTATTTATAATGCTGGTGTTTTTCTTTGTCCAGAGAGTTTGTAAAAAATCCAAAAAATGAAAAATGTTTATATTGCTTCAAACTCCAGAGAGAAGCCTTTCTATCTCAAATTAATCCCATGAAATGGGCAAAAAAAGGGTAAAAAATTAAAGGGTCCTGATTTAAAGCTGACTGGGTGAAGGAAGGTGAATCATATGCGGTTGGACAATTATGTTCGAGAATTCATCCTAGAAAAAGTGCTACATCGTTGCTGAATATCAATACAGTCACCTTCAAAGTACTCCTCTTGGGAAGCTGTGCACCGACGCCAGCACCTAGCCCATTTTTCAAAGCAATTTTGGAACTCTGAAATGGCTATCAGAGCTGTCATCTTATTACCCTTTATGTCCTAAATGTCATAAAAATATCTTCCTTTCAATATTTCCTTTATCTTTAGGTAAAGAAAGAAGTCATTGGGGGCCAGATCAGGTGAGTAGGGAAGGTGTTCCAATACAGTTATTTGTTTACTGGCTTAAAACTCCCTCACAGACAGTGCCATGTGAGCTGGTGCATTGTAGAGATGCAAGAGCCATGAATCGTTGGTGAAAAGTTCAGGTCACCTAACTTTTTCACGCAGCCTTTTCAGCACTTCCAAATAATAAACTTGGTTAACTGTTTGTCCAGTTGGTACAAATTCTTAGTGAATAATCCCTCTGATGTCAAAAAATGTTAGCAACATTGTTGCAACAAGTTCACAAACTTGTCAGACTTTGTATTTATTTTTACTGAGATATAATTCACATACCATAAAATTCACTCTTTAAAAGTGTATAGGGCCGGCCAAGTGGCTCAGTTGGTTAAGAGCTTGCTCAAGAGTGCGAGCTCTTGAGCAACAGTGTTGCCGGTTCGATTCTCAGCCTGAGCTGAGCTGCCGACAGATGGCAGGACGGCTCAGCTTTAAAAAAAAAAAAAAAAGGGCGGCCAGATGTCTCAGTTGGTTAGAGTGTGCTCTTATCAACAAGGTTGCCAGTTCAATTCCCACATGAGTTGGTGGGCTATGCCCCCCCACCCCCACCGCAACTAGATTGAAAACGGCAACTGACTTGGAACTGAGCTGCACCCTCCACAACTAGATTGAAGGACAACAACTTCACTTGGAGCTGATGGGTCCTGGGAAAAACATACTGTTACCCAATTAAAAAAAAAAGTATATATAATACAGTGGTTTTCAGTATATTCACAGAGTTGTCCAACCATCGCCATTATGTAATTTTAGCACATTTTCATCAACCTTCCCTCTTCCCCCCCCCCAAGAAAAACATTCATTAGTAGCCACTCTTCATTCCCCTCGCCTGGGCCCCTGACAACCACTATTAAAATCTCCATGTCTCGGGCCAGCCGAGTGGCACGATGGTTAAGAACTGGCTTGGGACACCACATATGAGGGCCAGTGACACTGCCCTCTACAGCTAAGATGCTGAACAACAGCTCAACCTGGAGCTGGGTTGCCATGAGTCACTAGCGTTGGCGTAGGCTGCAGCCCCTGTTGCAGTGGGTTGCCATGGGCTACCGTGTGTAGCCAGCAGCCAGCGTGAGCGGCCATCCAGAAGCTGGCCACTGATCTGCCTCGCCCGGGAAGAGTGCAATGATGGTGCCAACTTGGGCCAGTGAAGCAACGTCCTCCACAACTAGACTGAAAAGCAAAACAACAGCAACTTGTCTGTTCCCATCCCCACAATTCCCCAATAAAAATCTTAAAAAAAAAAAAAATCCATGTCTCGGGCCAGCCGAGTGGCACGATGGTTAAGAACTGGCTTGGGATGCCAGAGGGCCCCGGTTCGGATCCCACATATGAGGGCCAGTGACACTGCCCTCTACAGCTAAGATGCTGAACAACAGCTCTACCTGGAGCTGGGCTGCCATGGGGCGCCCGACGGTGTAGGCTGCAGTCCCCTGCAGCAATAAGCTGCCATAAGCTACCATGTGTAGCCGGCAGCCAGCGTGAGCGGCCAGCAGCCGCTGTGAGCAGCCGTCCAGAAGCTGGCGACTGATCTGTCTCGCCTGGGAAGAGCGCAATGATGGTGCCAGCTTGGGCCAGTGAAGCAACATCCTCCACAACTAGACTGAAGAACAAGACAACAATAACTTGTCTGTTCCCCTTCCTCCGATTCCCCAGCGCTGTTCCCATCCCCCAGCACCCAATAAAATCTTTGGGGGGGAAAAAATCTCCATGTCTCTGGATTTGTCACTCTGGACATTTCACATAAATCAAATTATACATGTAACCTCTTGGGTCTGCCCTTTTTCACTTAGCATAATTTTTCAAGATTCATCCCTGTTGTAGCAAGTATTTGTACTTAATTTTTATGACACTGTATTTTATTTACCCATTCATCAGTTGATGGACATTTGGTTTCCACTTTTTGGCTATTATGAGGAATGCTGCCATGAACATTTAACATGTTTTTGTGTGGACGCATATTCGCATATTTTACGAAGATACCTAGGAGGAGATACCTAGGAGAACTGTGGGGTCAAATGGCAACTTGAACCTTTTTGAGGAACTGCCAGACTGTTTTCCACTGCAGCTGCCCCCCAGCAGTGTGGGAGTGGTTCAAATTTCTTAACACCTTCATCAATATTACGTATTTAACGTCGTGCAATTAGGAGGCTCCAGGCTTCACCAGTACCCAGGTCTGGAGGTTCCCACAGCGTCCCAGCTTTAGCAACTCCTGCGCCCCACAGATACGCCGGTCTACAGGGACGGCGCCGGAAGTGCTGCGTGCGTCCGTCTGGGGCGGTGTTACTCTGCGTGCTGCGTACGCGCCCCGGAAGCGGAAACGAGTGCCCGTTTCCAGGCGGCCAATTCGAGGACTTGTTTTGTCACAAGCTGGTGTTCTGGGAGCTGTAGCAGGTCGAGCCATGCCGTCGGAGGGTCGCTGCTGGGAGACCCTGGAGGCGCTGCGCAATTCCGATAAAGGTCGCCTCTCTTACCACCGCGACTTGCTACTGCCTGACGAGGTGAGCAGTGGACCCAGAGGGCGTTGTGGCCCTTCCGGCCCGTGCGCCGGGAACCCGTGCGTCCTTTCTAACAACTCGCCTTTGTTTCTTGACTCTTGTGTGTGCATCACTCTGTCATAGGGTGTCTGCCCTCTCCAGCGTATTCTAACCGTGTGGGGAACTCCCCTTACTTCACAGGTGCTCTATCCGAAGGTTTCATTGCTACCCACAGCCAGAGTTGGGTGCCTCCGCCTATATTGTCAAAGCAACCCTGGCCTCTCAGGGTCAGTTAATTTACTGTGCGTCTCAAGTGCTAGAAGATCTAGATGTAGCAGTGATCGACTAATATGACCTTACCTGTTGTTACCAGTGAAAAGACCAAAAATTTAGATGCCCCTGGACGGACCGGTAGTTTAATGGAGGCGTGGTCACTGTCACTGTATTTGCAAAGCCCTGTGTCAGACCGCTGGAATGGGGCGGATGTAGAGACGGTAAAGGCTTAGCTCCTGTTCCCCAGTTGCTAGTAGTCTAGCTAACGTCCTGTCTCTTCAGACTTTTATGTGAAACAGTTTTAAATCATTTCCCTGTCTTTTATGCCTTTGACAGTTTTAAAGACTACATACCTTACCTTCTGTAGGATGAGTCCCAGCATGGGTCTGTGTGGTGTATACTCAGGTTATGCATTCTCGGCAGGGACGCCACAGAAATGATGCTGTGTTCTCAGTAACTCACATCAGGAAGCACAGGGATGCTTCAGCGCATTCCAGCACCACTGGTGACGCTAACCTTGATCACCTGGTCACATTGGTATCTGCTGTATATCTCCATTTACAGTTCATCATTTTTCGCTTTTTAACTGATTAGCATTTTGTGGAATTAGCAATTCCAGGATTACACCAATATGTATCCTTTTTCTCTTCAGAACTCCACCGTTAGCATTCATTGATGTTTCTGCCTGAATCAGTCACCTGTGATGTTTTTTTGGGATCTTTTTGGTTTGTTTGTTTTTTGTATCCATCATTCCTTCTGCATTTGTTAATTGGCATTCTACTATAAAGGAGAGCTTTCTTTTTCTCCCCTGTTTCATTAAATATTTATATCAATACAGACTCATGGGTTCTTCTTTTATTTAATGAGTTGTAATCCGTTACTTGCAATCTTGTGCATGTGTATTTTCATTTTGTGGGAAGTATATCTTTAGGATAAATTTCTTTCTGGGTCAAAAGGTAAACGTAGATGTTTTGCTATAGATTGCCAAATTCCCCCCATAACGGTATATCAATTTGCCTTCCAATCAGCAGTATGTGATTGTGCCCGTTTCCCCATAGCCTTGTCAACAGAATGTATTCTTACACTTTTGATATTTGCTTATCTAATAGGTAAGCGTAAGGTTTCAGTGTAGTTTTACAATGCATTTCTCTTTTGATTGAGATTGAACATCTTTTCATATGTTTAAGAGCTAACTTTATATCTTTATTTGTGAATTACCTATTTCTGTTTTTTGTTTGTTTTTTAAAGAAATTTTATTGGGAAACAGTGTGTTTTTCCAGGACCCATTAGCTCCAAGTCAAGTAGTTATCTTCAATCTAGTTGTGGAGGGTGCTGCTCTGCGGCCCATGTGGGAACTGGCAACCTTGGCGCTATGAGCCTGTGCACTAACCACCTGAGCTAACTGGCTGCCCCTGCTTATGTCTCTTGCCCATTTTTTAATTGGGATTTTGGTAGAGTTTTTTCCCCCCTAATCTTTACAAGTTTTTGCTATATTAGGGATAATAATAGACCTTTACCTATGATATGTGTTGCATATATTTTTTTCTAGTTTGTCAGTTGAATTCTTTTTCTGTTTATGGTGTATTTTTGTATTGTGGTTTTATTTGTGACATTTCAAACCTTGCCCCTGGAATGTATTTTGGTGTATGATTGTGTAATAAGGTATTGTCTCAACATTATTTCTAATATGTCTTTAAAACAAGCCTCATTACTGTATAAAGTATGCGTATAGCATTTTGCGTCTGTGTCCAGATAGTTCCCCATGGGTTGAATATCTGTTTATTGTACATAATATGTGTACCTATGATCTAGATTAGAATTTCTTGACCCCTGCGGGGTAAAACTGGCCTTGCTTGAGAACCACTGGACTAGATAAAATAATAGGTTGCAATATTCGAGTAATTATTATGTGCCAGGTACTGTTCTAAATCCTTTTTTACTCACTTAACACCCCTCCCCCCCAATCTCTTGAGGTAGATCCTTTATTCCATTTTAGAAGTGGTGAAGCCGAGGCACAGAGAGGTTAGGTAACTTGCCTGAAGTTACACAGATGAATGGAATGCAGACATGGAATTCAACCCAAGAAGGGCTGGGTGTAAACTGCGTGCTCTTCATCACTAGTATACTGTGTTCTCCATAAACATGTTAATTTTAAAAATTTAATACATAAAATTAGGACAAGGAGACAAATGTCACTCATGATTACCCAAGCACAACTTCTTGTATATTTCCTTCATGTTTCTTGGTGTAGCAGCATTTGTTTTTATTTTATGTAATTGTAGGCATACTGTGTTTATAGTTTTGTTTTTTCACTTAAAATTGAATCTTAAGTATGTTATTACATAAGATTCACAATCAGTATTATTTAATGACTAATATTCCACTGTGTATACTCTATTTTACTTCAAAATTCTTCTTGTGTTCTTTTTCTATTCCAATGGTTTAGATTGCTTTTGCAGGTGCTTTAATGACCATCTTTGTGCATTGTTCCTTTTTCTGTAGTTAGGATTATTTAGTCTGATATTCTAAAAGGATAATAGTCAGGGTCATTATCAAGAAACTACTGTACTTTATCTCTGATTGTTAATACAGTTACTTTGAGTGTTTATGTATGTATGCATGGATGGATGGATGGATGGATGCCTTCTTAGATTTTCAGTAAGACATAGTGGATTACCTTTGATTGCTTAGATCACTTGACATGCCAGTTGAGCTTAACCAACTGTTCTTCTCTCTAGGATGTTTGTATGTCTGTTCCCGAGCTATCTCCTTACTTCGGATGGGTGGTAGACCATGTCCTACCCCGTACACAAAAGAACCCATCTCCCTCTGAGACGCCATCATCCCCTAGATCTGCTTCAGCCCTAGACCAACCTTCATTTATTCCCCCATCTCCCGTCGGAAGCATTGCCTCCTCACCAGCCTCCCCAACAACACCAGATGGAACCAAGGTAAGGCTTTTAATCAGCTGAAAACAAAAGACAATGGTGGCTGCAAAGTTGAATTCTTTAACAGTGTCACAGGACAGTGACCTTACCCTGGGGAAAATAATGATTGCTGCTTGTTGTGGCTGTTTGTAGGGACAGTGCTGACTTTATTACCCAGTGTTCTCTTTATAAAGACCCAAAGAGAGGAATTCCCCTCTATTCTTAGGACCAAGAATAGTAATTAATGTCATGAGGAATCGGCTTGTTTTTTCTCATGAACCTTAAATCTGTTTAACTGGGAAGGTCTCCCTTTTTGTACTGGCTGCTGGAATGCTTAGCGTAAAATTTATACCTGCTCTTAAAATTTACATTCCTCACTTATCATTGGTTCTGTGCGACTTTTTACCCTATTTTTGGCTCTATTTTGACCCTGCCTTTGTTTCTCCCACTTAACAACAGTTTATTTGTTATTGGTAGTGTTCTTTTTTTTTGTTGGTTACTTTCAGGGTAGTTTGTGTGTATACGGTAGTCCCCCCTTATCCGAGGTTTCACTTTTTGTGGTTTCAGTTACCTGTGGTCCACTGCACTCTGAAAATATTAAGTGGAAGATTCTAGAAATAAACAATTCATACGTTTTAAATGGCACACCATTCTGAGTAGTGTGATGAACTCTCACATAGTTCGGCCCTGTCCTGACCAGCACATGAGTCACCCCTCTGTCCAGCATATATATGCTGTACACACTCCCGCCCATTAGTCACTTAGCAGCTGTGTCTCGGTCATCAGATCAACTGTTGCAGTATCGCAGTGCTTGTGTTCAAATGACCCTTATTTTCCTTAATAGTGGCCCCAAAGGGCAAGAGTAGTTATGTTGGCAATTTGGATATGCCAAAGAGAAGCCAGAAGGTGCTTCCTTTAAGTCAAAAGATGAAAGTTCTGAACTTAATAAGGAAAGGAAAAAAGTTGTATGCTAAGGTTGCTAAGATCTGTGGTAAGAATGAATCTTCTCTCCATGGAATTCTGAAGAAGGAAAAAGAAATTTGTGCTAGTTTTGCACTTCAAACTGCAAGAGTTATGGCCACAGTGCTTAATAAGCATTTCAGTAAGATGAAGAAGATGTTAAATTTGTGGGTGGAAAAAAACACGAACAGAATATGTGTTTCGATTGATGGCAACCAGAAAGCATTGAGCCTATGTGAAGACAATGGATATGAAGCAAGGGATCCATCACCTGAAACGAGTGACGCCAGGTTATTTACTGCAAGTGAGGGACTGTGACACAGATTCAGTAATAAATTTGGACTGAAAAATACAAAAATTACTGGAGAGAGAGATCACATTTACGTAACTTTTACTACAGTGGATTGTTATAATTGTTCTATTTTATTAGTTATTGCTAAGCTCTTACTGTTCCTAATTTATAAATTAAACTTTATCATAGGTGTGTATGTGTAGGAAAAAACATAATATATGTGGGGTTTGGCCACAATTTCAGGCATCCAATGAGGGCCTTGGAACATATCCCCGTGGATATGGGGAATGACTGTATACAGATACACAGGAACACGCTCTCCTTTCTCTTCTTTAACAAAGATGGTAGACCATGCTGTTGGGTACCATGTTTGTTTTCATTGGTTTTTTTCACTTCACAGTATATCTTGGAGATCATTCCTTCTCTATCTCTGTATCTATATCTGCCTCATTCTTTTTTTTTTTTTTTAGATTTTATTGGGGAATTGGGGGAGAGGAACAGCGCTGGGGAATTAGGGGAAGGGGAACAGACAAGTTGCTGTCCTTTTGTTCTTCAGTCTAGTTGTGGAGGACGTTGCTTCACTGGCCCAAGTTGGCACCATCATTGCGCTCTTCCCGGGCGAGGCAGATCAGTCGCCGGCTTCTGGACGGCCGCTCACGCTGGCTGCTGGCCACACACGGTAGCCCATGGCAGCCCACTGCAGCAGGGGCTGCAGCCTACGCCATCGCTGGCGACTCATGGCAGCCCAGCTCCAGGTTGAGCTGTTGTTCAGCATCTTACCTGTGGAGGGCAGTGTCACTGGCCCTCATATGTGGGATCCGAACCAGGGCCCTCTGGCATCCCAAGCCAGTTCTTAACCAACGTGCCACTCGGCCGGCCCTGCCTCATTCTTTTTAATAGCTTTTCTGACTTCTAATTTATGTTTGTTGTTACAGTTTTTGTTCCTTTGTAAGCTGCATTAAACCCTTTCTGGGTCAAAGAAAAATATAAGAAATAGTATTTGGCTTAGAATATAAAGAGCTAATAGAAAAAAAGCCTCCTAATAAACTGCAATATTGTGCTTTTTCAAGTTTTAGATTTTTTTTTTCCCCAAAGTTTATTTTTCTTCTTACTATGATCCTGGGTTTTTGTGTTTTTCTTTTAACTTTATTAGGGAACAGTGTGTTTTTCCCCAGGACCCATCAGGTCCAAGTTAAGCTGTTGTCCTTCAATCTTAGTTGTGAAGGGCGCAGCTCAGCTCCAAGTCCAGTTGCCATTTTCAATCTAGTTGCGGGGGCCACAGCCCACGATCCCATGCGGGAGTCGAACTGGCAACCTTGTTATTAAGAGCACATGCTTTTACCAACCCAGACACAGGCCACCTGTCAGCAGTTCAGCAGCAGCTCAGCTCAAGTCGTTGTCTTGAATCTAGTTGCAGAAGGCACAGCTCACTGGCCTATGTGGGAATCGAACCGGCAACCCTGTTGCTCAGAGCTCATGCTCTAACCAACTGAGCCACCTGGCCACCCTTCAAGTTTTAGATTTTTATGCCAACAAATTAAGATTAGGCACTTTTTAGAAAGGTGATTACATTCCTTGTGTTTAGCTTTGAAACGGCAAAGTTCTTTGTTCTTTTGCCTTTCTGCACTGCCAAGTTTTGGTTATTGAAAAAACATCATCATAGCATCAAAAGAAAAAATTTAGGGCCGGCCGAGTGGCGCGATGGTTGAGAACTCGCTTGGGATGCCAGAGGGCCCCGGTTCGGATCCCACATGTGAGGGCCAGTGACACTGCCCTCCACAGCTAAGATGCTGAACAACAGCTCAACCTGGAGCTAGGCTGCCATGAGTCGCCGGCGACGGCGTGGGCTGCAGCCTCTGTGGCAGTGGGTTGCCATGGGCTACCATGTGTGGTGAGCGGCCAGCAGCCGCAGTGAGCGGCCGTCCAGAGGCCGGCGACTGATCTGCCTCGCCAGAGAAGAGCGCAATGATGGTGCCAACTTGGGCCAGTGAAGCAACGTCCTCCACAACTAGATTGAAGAACAAAACGACAGCAACTTGTCTGTTCCCCTTCCCCCAATTCCCCAGCACTGTTCCCATCCCCCAATTCCCCAATAAAAATCTTTAAAAAAAAAAAAATTTAAATCTTCCTGTGATTTCATCGTTACAGCCAACCGTTAACTCCTTTCCAGTCTCATATGCCTGCATATTTGAACCTAGGCATAATTAAGTTGTATGTGCACTTTCATATTCTACTTTTCCTTACTAACCTTTCTTTGTTCATGAACAATTTGTTCACATTATTTCTACCTTTGTAGACATTATACTTATTGGATAAATAGTTTCCTATAATTTATTAAACTGCTCCTCTCTTAGGCATTTCGATGATTTCCATTTCATTGCTTTTAAAGATATTACAATGAGAGACCTTTTGCAGAGAGATCTCTTTTCCTTTTTAATCTTAAAAAGTATATCTTATAACTATTATCTTAAAATAAATGTGTAGATGACTACGTCAAAGATAAAAGGGTGTGAACATTTTAAAAAATATTTAATCTTATTTCAAAATTGTGGTAAAATACACGTAACATAAAATGTACCATTTAACCATTTCTGAGTGTACAGTTAGTTTAGTAGTATTAGGTAACCATCACCACTCTCCATCTCTAGAACCTTTTCAGCACCCCAAACTAAAGCACTGTACTCATTATTCAATAACTTTTTTTTCCCTCCCCACTCCCCACTCCCTGGGAACCACCATTCTCCTTTCTGTCTCTGGATTGGACCATTCCAGGTACTTCATATAAGTGGAATCATATAATTTTTGTCCTTTTGTGTCTGGCTTATTTCACATAGCATAATGTCCTCAAAGTTCATCCATGTTGTAGCAGATGTCAGAATTTCCTTTTTCTTTCTTTCTTTCTTTTTTTTTTTTAATTTCCTTCCTTTTAAGGCCAAATAATATTCCATTGTATGTGTACACCACGTTTTGTTTATCCATCATCTGTCACTGGACCCTTGGTTTGCTTCCATCTTTTGACCTTTTGGCTATTGTGGATAGTGCTGCTATGAACATGCATGTGCATGTATTATTTTGAGTACCTGTTTTCAGTTCTTATGGATACATACCCAGAAGTAGAATTGCTGGATCATCTGGTAATTTATGTTTAATTTTTTGAGGACTCGCCATACTGTTTTCCACAGCAGCTGTACCATTTTACATTCCTACCGGCAGTGCACAAGAGTTCCAATTTCTCCGGAACTCTGCCAACTTGGTTATTTTCTAGATTTTTTTTGTTATAATAGTCATCTTAGTGGGTATGAGGTGGTGTCTCATGGTAGTTTTGATTTGCACTTCCCTAGTGATTACTGATGCTGAGCATCTTTTCATGTGCTACCTTCTTTTGAGAATTGCCTTTGCAAGAGTTATTCAACAAATACGAACTTACTATAACACAGTAAATAGTAATCCTAAAGAGTAATATAGGACAGGTGATTGTTTATATTATAAAAACTGCATGGTTCTATACATGTAAAGTTTAGTCTTTAGTTTATATTTAGCACTTCATCTTTAAAAATATTAGTCTTTAAAAATATTTCTGGGGGTTGGCCGAGTGGCTCAGTTGATTAAGAGCGCAAGCTCTGAGCAACAGGGTTGCAGGTTCGATTCCCACATGGGCTAGTGAGCTGTGCCCAAGCTGAGCTGCCAACAGGTGGCAGTATGGCTTAGCTGGTGAGAGCACGTGCTCCTATCAACAAGGTTGCCGGTTTGACTCCCGCATGGGATGGTGGGCTATGCCCACCTGCAACTAAGATTGAATACCGCACCTTGAGCTGAGCCGCCGCGAGCTGCAGATGGGTGGCTAGATGGCAACTGGACTTGGAGCTGAATTACCTGCGCCTTCCACAGCTAACACTGAAGGACAACAACTTGGCTGTACCCCTTCCCCAGTTCCCCAACACTGTTCCTCTTCCCCAATTCCCCAATAAAATCTTAAAATATATATATATATATTTCTAGCAATTGAACATCATAGGCAAAAAAATGAACTTCAGTTTAACTTCACATCTTATATAAAAATTAACTCAAAATGATCATGGACTTAAATGTAAAACAATCAGACTTTTAGGTAAAAACTAAAAGCAAAATCAGAACTTCGGGCTAGGTGAAGAGTTTTTAGTTTTGACACCAAAAACATAATCCATAAAAGGAAAAATGGACAAATTGAACCTCATCAAAATGAACAACCCTGTGAAGTGGATGAAAAGACAAGTGACTGACTGGGAGAAAATAGTTGTAAAACTACATATTTCACAAAGATTTTGTATCTAGAATGTATAAAAAACTCTCAAGACTCCAAGGCTAAAAAAAAAAAAAAAGAAGAAAAACCACTTTATGACCTTTAGTTAGAAAATCGGCAAGATATGAACAGACATTTCCCCTGAGACAATATACAGAAGACAAATAAGTACATGAAAAAATTTTCCACATCATTAGCCATTAGGGAAATGCAATTTAAAACCAGAATGAGGTAGTACTACACACCCATCAGAATGGATAAAATAAAAAGTAGTGACACCAAATGCTGCCAGTGATGGGGAGACTCTGGATCACTCGTACACTTGGGCTGGGAATAGAGGATGGTACATACAGCCACTTGGGAACATATCTTGGCAGTGTCTTAAAAAGTAAATATGTGCTTAACCGCTATTCACAATAGCCAAGACTTGGAAACAACCAAACTGCCCATCGGTAGATGACTGAATTAAGAAACTGTGGTACATTTATACAATGGAGTATTACTCTGCTATAAAGAAAAATGGAATCGTACCATTTGGGACAATATGGATGGACTTAGAGACATTATGTTAAGTGAAATAAGTCAGTTGGAGAAAGACAAATACCATATGATTTCACTTATATGTGGAATCTAAAAAACTGAATGAACGAGCAAATAAACAGAAATGATCTCAGAGATATAGAGGAACAACTGATGGCTGTTAGTTGGGAGGGGGTGAGGATGAGGGAGAAGGGGAAGGGGTTAGACAGCATAAATAGGTAATTACAATATTACCACAGGGACAGGAAAGACAGTTTGAGGAATATAATTAATAATGTTGTAAATATTTTGTAGGGTGTCAGATGGTCACATGTCTTGCTAGGGAGACCGCATCATGGATGGGGTAGAGGCTTGATCACTGCACTGTACACCTGAAGCTGATGTTGTATAATATTGTATGTCAACTATAAGTGAATATATATATATATATGTGTGTGTGTGTATACATATACATATACATATATGTATATATATATATAGTCATGGGACGTGGAGTATAGTGTGGGAGTGGAGTCAAGGGAATTGTAATAGATATGTATGATATTGAGGGGGGAAGTGGGGCGGTGAATTGGGGGAGGAGGTTGTCACCTCAAGGGGTAAAAAGTATAACTATTGCACTGTGTTGTACAGCTGAAACTAATTCTAAAAAATATGTATTTCACAATAAAAAATAATTTAAAAAATAAAATGATAGGATGCAAAAAAATATATATATATGTGCTTAACCAGATGACCTAGCAATTACATCCTTGTCCATTTTTCCCAAAAGGAATCAAAACTCACATTCACATAAGAAGAATCTGTACACCAATGTTCACAACAGTTTTATTTATAATATCTCCAAACTACAAACAATTAAATATCTTTCTACAGATGAATGGTTAAACTGTGGTACAGTTTAGCTTATGTTGATTAGCTCCTGTTATCAGGAAGGCGAGGAGTGCATTTGGAATCAGTTCGATCTAGGTGCTCTGTGTATCTATGCTTGACATTATTTCTGACGTGACCCAGTGACCCAGACACAGGGCTTTGCCTCTCCACCTCTCAATTCTGCCTAACTCTTCTTGGTTTCATTTTTCAGATAAACTCTATATGGCAAGATGGCTAGTGGTAGCCCTAGACACACATCTTAGGATAGCATCCCCAGAAGAAGAGAAAGCCTTCCCAAATAGCTTCATCAGAGAAATCCAAAGGTGGACTCTGGTCTAGCATGGCCCATAAGCCTCACTGCTAAAGTCGATACTAGCTACAGAGACTAGAGGACTTTGACTGCCAGCTGGTCACATGCTTACCTCTGAGGCTAGTGGGGTAGAAGAATGGGGGTTGTGGGTTGGGGTTGTGCCATCCCAACAATCCCAGCACAAATGGACACTATGAGAAGGGGGAAAGATTTGCTGGGCAGCAAAGCAAACAAATAAAGAAACGCCCAAAATACAACAAACATCAATTTATTAAGGAAAACTATTAGAACAAGGTCAATATCATGAAAAGCTTACTTCATCCAACCTAATTTGTTTTGTTGTTAGATGTTGTTTCTAAGTAGGGATGTGTTTGTTGTCTAGAAGGGATAACACCAACTGTACCTTCTTAAAAGCTGGATTTTTCCATCTTCTGTCTGTGCAGGACAAACCTGAGTCCCAGCATGCAGAGCCTATGGTACTTCAGTCCTCCAGGGGCATCACAGTGGAAGGCTGCATCCGAATGTATGAGCTGGTGCACAGAATGAAAGGAACAGTAAGTGACCCATGAAGCACGGCAAGCTTGACCCTAGGGAGCCATATTTAAATGCAGTCCCTCAGGGTTTATGAATGCCCACTGTATACTTATCATTGTGTCCCACCTGCTAGGAGCTCCCAATTCTTCTGGGGAGAAAATATGTAGCCATCAAGAGAAAGCTCTCTGAAGTCAAATCTGGTTTCAGATCCATGCTCTTCTATTTTACATGTGACTTTGTGAAAATTACTTAGGCTTTCCTGGTTTCCATTTGCTTCCCCAAAATTTGACGATGATTCGAGGTTGTCAGATAAGGTTATACTGAGAAGATGGACCTTAACAGCCTCTTGAGAAAAGAATAGCATTATTTTAATTAGTTTATTTGACTTTATTATTTTTTTTTTTTTAAGCTGAGCCATCCTGCCACCTATTGGCAGCTCAGCGGCTGCTCAGCTCGGGCTGGGAATTGAACTGCTGTTGCTCAGAGCTCAAACTCTTGAGCGAGCTCTTAACCAACTGAGCCACTCGGCCGGCCCTGAAATTATTATTTTTTATTAGGAAAGCAATGCACGATTTTGTAAAATTTTTTAAAGAGTACATGAGTTTATAAGGTGAAAGTCCTCTGCAATCTACCCTCATTCATTTGCCCACTGAGTCAACAAATATTTATCGAGCGCTTATGTGCTAGATGCTCTTCTAGGTCTAGATAAACTGTGGACAGAGTAGACACAAACCCATGTCATCATAGAGCTTATATGCTGGTGGGGAGAGACTGAAGTAAACAAGAAAAATAAATAAAACATAGTTAGAAGCCTGTTATAATCTGAGTGAAAGATAGGAACACATTAAACCATTTACCTTGGCACTGAAGAAAAAAAGGTGATGGTTGCTTGGACTAGGGTGGTAGCAGTGGAGGTGGTGAGAGAGAGACCAACTGTGTCCTTGGCTTTCCCCAGCTCTGCTCTGTCAGTCACCTCTCCTCTGTGGAATACCTTCCAGAAGTATTACGTAGCAAGTTTCCCCCTGCACCTAATCTCCCTCATGTGCTCTCTGTTGTTGATTTTTTTTCCCCTCCCAGCTCTTATTTAAACAGTCTCAGTGGAGAGGATACATATGCTTGTGTTCAGTTTGCCTTCTTGCACTGGAAGCTTTAAAATAACATTTAAAATAGAATAACATAATGTCTTAACAAAACGTCTCTACATATCTCCATGCCAGTATACATTGCATCTCATCCTCTTTAAAGGCTGCAAAGTACTCTCTAGTATGACCTGTAGTATAGTTAATCTTTCCCTGGTTAATTTAAATTATTTCAAATTTATTGCCATTGTCAGCAGAGCTATAGTGAGCATCCTTGTACGTATATCTTTGCATGCATATGCAAACATTTCCTCAGGATAAACTCCTAAAATGAAACTAGAGTCAAAGGATATATATTGGGTTGTCGGAATAGTCATGATGCATTTTTGCAGTGAAAAACAGAGAAAAAAATACGTCATAACTTTTCCAACAACCCAATACTTCAAATTTTGATAGTTAAAATATCAAATTGCCCTTAAAAACCATATGAGAGTACTTTCATGAATAATAAATGAAATACCTGATATTCTTAGGTATAAAGGAAAGGGCCTTTCCTAAGTGGAGGTAGGGGAAAGAATCTAGGCAAAGACAATAATATGAGGAAAGGAATGAGACGAAAATGTGCATAGCATGTTTATGGAATTAGAATAAGGATTTCTGTAGATTACCCTGAAACCCTCATAAGAATATTCAAGATAGAAGCTTAGAAGTGCAAGCCTAATTGATATATATTGGTAAATACGTGCCCCTTCCCAGCTTATAACCTCATGGGGCAAACTGGAAGAGGTTTCCAGAACAGCTGAGTTTAAAGATCAACCCAGAGGAGAGAAGTGACCGAGTAGAGGTTCTGATAAGTACACATGCCCTTGAGTATCTCTGATGGAGTTAAGGGCTGATGGGAGGGTATCCCACGGGGGGAAATGACCAAGGTAGTCATGGGGTCCAGAGAGCAGGTGCTGATCCTTTTCAGGAGGGCTGGAGGCAGTGGCAGGAGGAGCAGGAGAAAAAGGTTCTAGCCCTGTCTGAGATGGCATCTGAACAACTGAAGCGGTTTGATGAACGGAAGGAACTGAAGCATCATAAAGAATTCCAGGACTTACAGGAAGTGATGGAGAAGAGGTGAGTCTCCCTGAATTACGGCTGGGATGTCGGGCTGGTCAGTCCTTAAGTAGCAAAATAGCCAGAGAAGCTCAGAGCCCAGAAAAATGACCCACCTTGGAAAGATGGCCAGTATATCACAAAGAGAGGGAGGCTTTGGGAAGAGGTAAAACAGTGTTAGCAAGCGTCCCTGACTTTTCCCCTGCCATTTATTCTTCTTTCAGTTCCAGAGAAGCCCTGGGGCACCAAGAGAAGCTAAAAGCTGAGCATCGTCACAGAGCCAAGGTCAGAGTCTGGGAGAATCCGTATTGGTGTCTCAGTGTCAGGCTGTTACCTGCCCGAAGAGATGTTCTGGCAGCCAGTCATGGAGGACCTGGCCCATGTCATGCCTCTGTGTGACTGACGCTGCACAGTCCTTGTCCTGCTCTGGCCCATCTGTGAAAATATGTAGCCCCCACTAGGACTCAGGAATGTAGAAAGAGAGTCCAGGAGCCCCTCAGAGAGGGGTAACGTGACAGCCCTCCCTGTAGATTCTCAACCTGAAGCTGCGGGAGGCAGAGCAGCAGCGCCAGAAGCAGGAGGAGCTGGAGCGGCTCCGGAAGGAGGAGGGCCAGGTCCGCCTGCGCGGCCTCTACGCCCTGCAAGAGGAGATGCTGCACCTCAACCAGCAGCTGGACGCCTCGGACCAGCCCAGACACCTGCTCAAGGTGGACCTGTCTGCCTTCCGGACCCGGGGCAACCAGCTGTGCGGCCTCATCTCGGGCATCATTCGGGCCACTTCTGAGGTGAGGGGGCTCCAGGGGGTCTCGGTCTTCTGTCTTTGAAATGGAGAACCTTAAAGGTAAAATTTTCTGGGTTAAATATAATCCTGCTTGTTATCACTTGTCATTTCCTTACCTAGAGATAACCACTGTTAACATTTTCTGTTTCTTTTCTGACAGGGTGTGTGTGTTAGCCCCATCCCAAATTGGACTCACATAGCTATAGAGTACCTGTAGGTTAAAAAAAAATTTGTTTCTTCTGATTGTGAAATACTTGAATTCATTCAGTAATATATACGGAACGCCTGCTATGCTTATGGTAAAAATTAAAACCTCACAGAAATGTATATTGCATTTTCAGTTAACATTGTATTTTGAACATGTAATTACTATGATTATTAAAATATTTTGATGTTTTTAAGGCAGTGTTAAAAACTGCAAGTATTACCTTAACACATAGTAGGTAGTCAGTAAGTATTTAATGAACTGATGCAACTGGATACATTCAACATAAAACCATACCAAAATTTATTGAAAAAAGCATGCCTACTGTTGAACATTACAAGTTTCTATATTTCACTACATTGCATCACACTACAGTGATATCATTTTATATATGTCTTATCTGCATTTCTAATTGTTTCTTAGAGATAAATTCCTAGAAATGGAATTATTGGTCATAGAATATTAAGGTTCTTGATTCACACCCAAAAGTTGTACCAGTTCACACTTTTATGAATTGTGTGTTCTTGCCCTTCATTCATATTTCTA